ACTGATCCATTTTAATGTGATTGCAGAGTTCACAGGGTTGTCAACAAACTAAGTAAAGATGTATCGCCGTCAAATAAACGTTAGTGGATGTGTATTGTCGTTAATTTATACAGAAATAGAATCGGTACAAAGATCAAACTTTACGGAACTCCAAAATTGATAGATATCAAAATATATACTGATCCACTGATGACATGTTTTTCTCTAAGATCATGACTTTGGATGACCTTAGCTATTGATAGGACGTTAAACCCTGCACAACCAACCTTCCTTTAAGATAGTGATTGAATTAAGAACTGAGTTCACGTTTTGTAGTCTATAGATCGAGCTCCTTAACTAAACATTGAAAGAACTGTTTCTTTACTGTACTCTCCAGCTATATTATGGACATTTGATAAGATAAACTCTTTCGTGAACAATTCATACATTACATTTTCCGAGTTATGCTGTTCAGACATTAGGTTTTAGATCTAAAAACACAAACGCATAAAGGATTATGACAGTAAATTACAGTTCACTGGAAGCGTTGTGGTGACGATACATATCGGGTGTATGCGATGACGTCAAGGCCGTGAGTGACGAGGAGCAGCATGAATTGGAATATGAATGTTCTCCTAAGCCAAATGTGGAACTGACGGCCCCAATAATAAACTAGACACATTTGAGAAAAACATACAGGTCTTCGTTAGCAAGAGTGGGTATCATACGATCAAACCTGTTTCAAACAGGTTTTGTAGTGAAGGCACGAAATATAAAGCAGTTATGTTTTACAGTGACTCAAGAGAGAGGAAGAAGGACGTCCAGCCAGGACATGACGTGTAACCATGAAAACAATCGACGTACAATGTATAAGAGGCTGACAGTCCAGGACAGAACCAGGTGGAAGACTGCAGCACTGTAAATGTCTTATCTTAGATACAGTAAAAAATCTTATCAACGACATGCTAATTTTACGGTTGCCTTCTTAAACATCAAAAGATTCAAGGTAATAATTTATCACTACTGACAAACATTAACGGTAACTTCGTGTGATAAATCGGTTGTTTATTTAGCCGTAAAACACTTTTAGCGTGTCAGGGAAGAGGTGCACGCTAACATGTCATTAGCGTATAAATCATCACACGACTTCACATTTATCTTTTATGTAATGCATTTTATAATACTGACTGCACAAACAGGTCGGCGGCTCTACGAATTACGAACTATTGAAACAACACCGATACCGGTTTGCGCGATGTAAAGCTCCTGTCTGAAACATGTATTGGTAGGCTACAGATATCATTACTAGCCGATGTATCACACTCTGCTCCAATGACCCGCAACCAAAGGTCATGATTACAATAAAAGGTCAAGGTTAACAAAGTTTTTGAAGATCATTGAAGACGTGAAACATGTTCTGAATCTGATAGAGACTTCATGACAATTCCCACATGTGGTTCCTGCGATGTTATTATGTCTTGAGCACAAAGCTACGTGTCAGTATTGTATGGGAGCTCATACCTCTTTCAGTCTTCTGTTATATTTTTATGACTGCTGTGTCTTCTGTATTGAGTGTTCCCTATATTTAAAGTTTGCGAGATGTAATTTCTCAATATTCCTTTACTCATTAAACTGTCGACACCTTTGAAAAGTATGGCCAATATCCGCAAAGTAATATTCCCCGTATCAAAAAAAACAAACAAACACGAACAAAAACTTTCTTCACTTTATTTTTCACGCACACTGTTTAAACAAACATAATAGTTTCTTTCATACTCTGGATAGTTATAAAAAACATGGTGTTTATGCTATGCGATACAAGTTCTTGAGTATATCATTAAGAATATCAGGTTGATAAGTAACAGCAAAGTCAATATTCACTTTTTATCGTCGATGTGCCGCATCACAGGTGTTATATTGAAAGTACTGAACAAACCTGATCAAAGATCCGAATAGAACATTTCCCAAACAGATATACAGGTACACTTTATCTCATGCTATTATTTTGCCCATTCTTGTGGCCCTCTTTATCACACCATGGACCTGGATTATCAAAAGTTGTTAATAAATACCGGTATTATTATAAATACGAACATCTTCACATCGGTTATGATTATACATGTAAAATAGTATGGCTCTTGCCCTAAAAGATCTGTTTTAGGACTGGCAAGGAACTATAAAGAAGTCGTACACATTTAAAAGTTAGCGATAAACAAAAGGTGATTAGAATGAGCGCACAATTACTTTTCTGTTCAAGTAAATTGGCATTATTACGTATATGGATCATATTCAACTTACAGTTTGTTGTATACGATTTACCTCTATACCAAACGTTACGTTGAGTAAGGAACTTTTATATTTACTAGATGCCGACTGAATACCTAGTTCCCGATATACTGACCGATTTATATATATAGGATATAAAATTAGAAAGAGTTTAAAAATAATATTTATCCTTTAAAATATAACATGATATTTTTAAAATTCACGAGTAAATAACCATAGTGCATCTGTCTCGTAAAAGCAGAACATTTTTATTAATAAGCACTGCTCAATTCTAAATAAAAGCATATCTTTGCATCGCTCCCGTTTACGGATATGTCGCGACATATCAATACAATAGAGAGCATTGCTCCAATCTAACCTGAATTAGTTGGAAACTACTCATTTCTCCATCCTTTCAGTTTAAATTCAAATCTAAGGAAGCACGATTGAATTGCAATCACATCATTAGAGTATAACTCTTCCTTTTTATGATTCATATATAGGGCAAATACAACACAAGTCAGCTGTGGGCCTGATGTCTTAGTTGTGATAACACTGTCCTTAGATATAAAAAAAAAAATATGATTAAAGTATATGTGAAATAGGAAAGGGAGAATACACTAGGCAAGACCAGTATTTAAATCAGTGAGTTTAGACCCCCCGCCCCTAAATCTTGTCTCTGGCGATGAATCTAGTTCGGCACTTCTACAGTTAAGTATAGATACATGTTAACCAAATGATGCAAAAGTATAAACAAATTTCCTGAATCTTATCAAATACTGAAACGTAAGGAAAAAGATATTTCCATATCTTGTCAGGATTTCAGTATTCACAATGGAACGTTTAAAGTTAACCGTGTCACACTAAAACACACCGATTACAAACTACAGGAAGACATAAAACTAGTTCATTATAAAAATTATTTGTTAATTTAATGTCCTTCAGACCATTGTCCTAGGACTGTTATTGTCGTAGACTATGTGGAACCAACTGTAACCACTACACCGGTACACTCCAGAATTTCTAAAAGCATGAATTCATAAAAAAATAAATTGTTCTTTAAAATAAACACTTAACTTACTTTCAGTTAAAAAATGAGAACAGTTCCATTGCACTTTGCTAATTTTTATATAGTCATGTATACACAAAATATAAACACAAAACTTGATATAAATGTAAAAAAAACTCATTTCATAAGTCTTATAAATAGTGCATTATTTCTATAAATAGTGCACTATCACATGACTACCTCTATAAAAACACAACCTGATAAAACATGACTGTTATCTTTGATTAATAACTTTAAACAATTTATTGTGGAAATATATCTATACATTGTACTTATTCTATAAACTCTAATTTTGTATCGAATTCTCTTTTCTTCAAGATGTTGTCAAAAATGACATTGACCTTTTAGTATCCACAAACACGTTTCAATCATAAGAACCAAATCTCAGATTCGATTCAAAGTTTAAATCTAATAAAGGTTTATATATCTTAAGCCAAAACATGAAAATATTTGCTTTTTGTAAATTCAATATTCAATTCAACAGGTAACTTAACTTTAAAGTTCATTGTTTTGCAATCTGGGCACCGAAAAGTCCAAACAGATTAATTGACCTAATATACCTATACAGAAATGGTACTATATCTATTTTGATTCCTACTTTTCATTCAGGGTCATTTAGAAGCTTGACCTTGACTGCGGCCCATGATGCTGAATATGGTCGCTGCAATCTTCTCATAGATCATGAACATGAAGGCTGCTGTGAGCACGGTTTGTAACAGCTTTGCCTCCATCCCCTTGTATAGTCCCTTCACACCCTGCTGCCTGTTGAGAGCAGAACGTTTACTGACACAGTGCTTACGTACTTAACATACATACAAAATGTAGGTAAAGTATGCAAATTTTATATCATTAACAGTAATGGGTTTTATACATTATAAACAACAATGTATGAGATTGGAAAATTGAATGCTTTAATATTAAAATCTATATAAAGGGTGAGAAATCTGAACATGTATATACAAGCAATGTTCATATAGCTTATAGTTCAGTCTTATCAACTATATTTGCATCTGTATCTTCAAGAGAGTCCATGACATATCAGTGCATAGAATAAAATAAAAACATCAATTTGTATAATTAATTAAATACATATTCTCTCAATTTCAATTGTGACCATTCACAAGCATGATATTTGTTATTCAATATTAAAGAACAACAATTAAATCATGGATTTGATTTTAAAGCTTAATAGACGCTTAACATGCGTGAGTATAAACTGTACGAACTATCTCGACACTTAAACAGACGATTTAATGGTGGTATTGTCACAATGTTATGACATTTATTTATAGTATGGCGTTAAAGTGCTTACAAAAAATCATGACAGGGTTCTCGGAAACAGAAACTTCTTTGCTAAACAATCGATGTCTTGAAGATTTTAAGGCATATGGCATTTGGCTAAGGGAAAAAGGGAAAAAGACGCTGCCAACACCTTCCAAGGCAATTTTCAAGGTAACTTCCCAATGTTGCTGTTTACCGGGGAGAACAAGGGTATAGGTTATGACACCTGGAAATCTAAAGTATGTTGGTATTGTACAGTAATCTCAGTTGGTATAAGTTCCTTAGGTCAAATAAGGGGGTCTGATGAATATGTATGTATGTTATTGATTGGGTTACATCCCAGCCTGAAAAATCCTATCACTTTTAATCCGTTCATGATTTGGAAAAGAGCAAGACGTTGGAGTTAGCAGTGAGACAATAGTTAAAAGATGCCCGAGACTGCTACGTCAGTCGACGCGTCCACCAGTACATACTAACAGATTTAAGTGTTAAAAGGTATTATAAAGCAATTGTCCACTGAAGTGCAGTTTCAGTGGGAGTTTAGTAGAGAGCATTGCATCCGTCAGAAGCGAAGGCATTATAGTGGAACCTAAATTACAGACATCGTAATCAGAACCCATAGTGCCAGCAAACTGACTTATCGCACGATCATTAATAGGATACCAAGTCATTTTGCTTTAGATATGGAAGGAAAATGCATAATGCAGTTGGATACAGCAGCTGGGTAGGGGTTGAGAGAGGACTAACTCTAAGCAGCGTAATATTTAACTTGTAAGGTCAACTACAGAAATCCAATGTCTGCATTAGGATCACGTCACCAACATTAACGTTAAGTACATGTAACACACACACGCAGGTGAGTGCACCTTTAAATATGCCAAAAAATTGTTACACTTCATCATACAGCTGTTTTGTCCTTCTATGACTCATCAGTAAAGTAGGCTATCCTAAACTTGAAAGTGTAAGCGGGACGTCTTTGCCCATAAAATGAAAGGAACTGCCGATATATGGGTGGACTGAATACCTGTTATTATGCCATCAACTCTGTACAAACCTACGTACCTAAACTTTTTGGAATTGATATTATTGGTGTTTTTCAATGAATACGACAGATGAACGGTTTGGAACAATGTTCTTACAGTGTACCAGATTGGTCATGCCATTCTACTTTAGATGCATGGTCATCAAATACTATAGAGTAAAACATCCAGACGGAACAACCGGTTAGTCTTATTAGATGTGCCAATCTTACGCCAGTAACCATCGGAAAACTCTAACGTCATGCTTGAGAAAGTAACCTCAGTGATACGATGAAACATCCACAAGTATGTGATTTGGTCAAACTCGACGAAAGTTGTTCTATTCTGCTTGATTTAACACTAACCATCAAAACATATACATTTGTACCGGTATGCCACACCGTAAACCTTTAGTATGGTACATGTTAGCAATATATTGAGCTTTACCCTGTTTCTGTGGAGGATATTTCTCAGCTTGATAAGTCCAAATGTGGTGAAAACACAAGGTTGAGATGCAGACGAGACCTGTCACCAGCTTTATGAGAAGACCTCATGTTGTCTCTAATTGCTTTCATTTTGGAACGGTTTACTTTAGTGTAACACTGTAGTGACTTGGCAAAATACATGTTCCGTTACATCAATATTAGATGAGATGAGGATCTTTGTCCATCAGTGTCAGTCAGCCAAGAGTTTCAGTGTTCCCCTTGCCTTTTGACTTGGACAATTTTGAGCGTCAATTCAATCAACGGAAAGACAAAGCTGCGAGTGTTTTGAGTAGTCTGAAAAAATACTTTGAACATATGTTTTCTCATATCAGGTTGGCTACGTCCACGTCCATGTTTCATGTTTTCTGGGATACATGGGTTTGGAGAGAGGAACAGGAAGACGATTTCGAGATTGAAGAATGTATAACAGAAATTCGTATTTTCTGTTCTATCGGGAAGAGGGTGAATCAAGGTCATTATACCAGAACAGTGATATCGTGTGCACAAATATAAGTTTCTTATACAAAGTTCAGCAGTAACCGGCACGTTTAAGGACTACCTGTTCAGTAAAAGGTTCACTGCAGTGCTGACAATAACCTCTTTATTACGATAGAGATACTTAACATGGAAACGAGTGCATGATCGTATGAGGGGACTTATGTGGGGCCCCTGCAGAATATACATACTTTCTGTTTCAGGCGATGTCTACATAGGCATCCTTCCTAATATGACCCTGGCTGTTTTTAAAAACGTTCAACCCCCCAAAAACAACCTTAACATAGAAAATGTGCAGCCCTTGACGCATATCACTTTAACATCGTGTATCGACCGTTAGCTGACGTTGACGTAGTGATGTCATTAAGGTTATCAGATTTCGATTAAAACTTACATATGTTGAGAGCATTGCAAGGTCATTCGACATACAAATGTTCTTCAACTATTAACAGAAGAGCCAATTGCAGTAGATATTCAGATAGCTGTTATTGAGCTGATAAAAGACATAACCTTCTATTAAGAGTTTGTGATTTAAGTTGTTGTAGGATGTCGTGTATCTTCAACCAAACAGCAAATTCAAGATAAGGTCGTGTCCTTTGTTTGCCCCAAAATACTTCTTCGGTTTTTATAAATTGTATCATTACCAATACTGTACAATGTATACTGTACAAACAGTGATACTTACCTAATCAGCTCTTTCAAACTGCTTAATATGCTTGCAGATCTTTCTTCTTTGTTGTACCCAGCCTGACACAAAAACAATAAATAATAATAACATCTGAAACTGCATGTATCCTCTATTTTTATTCCTTTGGCTTTCATATTCAGTCCAGTGACAACACGCAGTTTATGTCTATATAACTTTATAAATACATGTTAAAATAATTACTGGATAAAAAGTTCATCTTACCCGAAGACGTGATTGCACAACCTGAAGAGGGTATGTTGTGATGGTAGCTGTTGCCTTGGCAACGGCCCCAATAACAAAGTACAGGAACCCACTGAGGTCCTATAATAAAACATAAAAAATGTCAAAAAGACTGGCCCTGTGTACAGGTTCACCAGTAATCAATCAGAACAGAGGAAACATCAATCAAACCTTGAATTTATAAGGTAAGTTACAGGCATGACAAAATTTAGTTTTTCAAGATTCATTGCAATTTAACAACGCCAGATTAAAATAACACAACTTTATCGTCTGTTATCTACATATCAAGATTCTTTTTGTATTTGTGTAAAACGTCCTCATTGCTGGTACTAAATAGTAGAATATATAATGGTCTAGATAGATGTGCGTAACACACACACAACGGTCTTGATAACAAATACGATGTGCTCTATTAAACGCACACTTTCCTTTTCTCCGTAAAAATGTCTATCAATTTCATGAATGACTGTTTCTTTAAAAAGAAATTAAAGATGATAATCGAACCATCTGGATTTTTGGCTAATTTCAACTTGTTCTTGTTAACATGTGTACATGACTTGCGTATATTTTACAGTAACATACCTTTGTCTTCATCAGTTTCTGAAAGTATCGTTTCACCACCTCATACACCATAAACTGTAAGGACGGATTGGACGCCAAGACGATGGACGGAAGAGTGCCGTTCCACAATGCCCCAATACCTTCCATCCTTGCAATCTTAAGCAGGGCATCTGAAATAAAATAGCCGATTAACTAAATGCCAAGATGTTAATATATCGAGAAGTCTCTCTTTCATCAAAATATCTGCTCGTTTCTAGGGTCACCAAAATAAATGTCACCAAGTGATATGGGATGAAAAAAAATACTCAGCCACTTGAAAATTGAAATGATAGCATTTTGGAAACTACTTACACAACAGGTAAGGCTTTTGAGGACCTCAAAAACATCAGTAATGTTCAATAAATTATCCCCAATCTACATCAAAACAGCCAAATATAGTAACCCACAATTTTATTAAAAAAACAATGACACTTTTAGCTGCAGAGGAGAACAACCAATCATGCTGAAATGGCTTTAATCAGTTGTGTACACTAATTCAATCACACACACACAGCATGATTTAAAAACGAAAAAAACCTTTTAAGATAACGTGATAAACATGTCATTACACTGTGTTTCAATGTTTTAAGACGTCACTTCTGCGATTATAGCTTAATTTCTGTCCCAAAATCTATATGGAGAAATTTTACACGCTTTAAGTTGAAAATACTATCCCTCAGTTATATCAAAACATATCTAGGCTCGTATCAACCTAAGATACCAATGTTAGTCTGAGATCTTCAGTTGGAGGGACAATATTTGATACAGGGTGCAAAACAAAATAGCGATGTTTCATCATATTTCAATCACTTTTTACAAGTTCTCCTTTTACATTTAGAGGTTTGACACTTGCCTCTAACATAAATTTCAATAGCTAATGATCCGTGTTGATATGGACATTGACGAATTGTATTTTTTAACTTCTTAGCAATACTTAGAAGCCGGACACTAAGTTGGGGCAAATGCCAGCGTTATTTGGTCTTTTCATCTTATGTTTTTTTTCTAGTCTTGGGGAAGTTCTCATTAACATATACTCCCTACTTGTCGCCTTAAACATCCCAAACATTGTCAGGAATGTTCAATAGATGTGGATGAAAGACTTTTTCCAGGTAATAAATAAATAATGAATGTGTGTTCTTGAGAGTATTCTGCGGGAGTGAGAATTCATATATTATAAATGACGTCATATTCCCATCTGGTATTGCTTAAGGCCTCATATCAATTTTGGTTTTGGTGATTAATGTTGTCCTCATATCAGTATATGTGGGTTGGGAAATAACACTTTGACTAGGAACTGTATATTGTTGGCTCATTTTGTTGTATCAAGTGTAAACAAAATGTTTGTATTAATTACGATGTGAGAATTGACATTTCCTCAGCCAAATGGAAATACATCATACGATCCCTCAGTTTTATAGAGATTAATCCCTGATCTAAAACTTTATTTTATGTTGACGCTATCACCCCAATAATAAAATAACCATAATTGGGTCAGAGGATGTAAAAATCACCATTTACCGAGCAAACTTGTTTACACAATGTACCAGACCGAGAACATTCTCCCCAAAATTCACTCAATCTACTTTTTTATAAACATGCTTTGGACTTGATTGACAAGAAGTCCTAGAGCTTTATAAGTCATCAGTGGAGTCATATTTTATTGCGTAAACCTTTGAACATCATTTTTAAAACAAACAAACAGGAAATTGTAAGTGAATCATTTAATTAAACTGTTTTACGTAAGTGCTTTATATTTGTTGTGAACTATCATGTAAATAACGTTGTCTACCTACTGTTTTTAACGTGCATATATATCAATATAAAAAAATGGGAAATCCTGACAATTGTTTACAATTGCCATACATGGTCGACTAAAGACTGCCAATAAATCTGTCAAATAAATTGACACTATACCTACGTTCTTTTGATTAGCAGACACTATGGCTGAGAGAATAACAGTACTCGGTTTCCAGTTCAGTGAATCTACTCTTTTTATCTGATGCTTCATTGGCGTCAGTCAGGAAGACGCTAGCTATGATATTTATAATTAGTGTAACAATGTGCTAGCTGTATCAGTCCAACGCGTTTTTCAATATTTCTGGCAACTAGAATATCTATTATTGATACTTTGCCGATACTTTTAATACCTTTGCTCCTTTCTATATGATGAATGGGAATTTGTGAACTGTGACAAATTTGTTTCCATTACTTGCAAACATAGATATTCCTAAATTAGGGATGTTCAATAGATGTGGTTGAAAGACTTTTTCCAGGTAAATAATTAATTAAGAAATTTGGCGCCACTCTGACATGCCCTGATATATTTATAGCCGTGGAAGGGTTAAAGTGTTATTACTTGATGTGATCAGGTCATGTACTCGTGAATAACCAAAAAGTAGGTAGCATGTACTCTGTCGTATTTTATAAATAAATGTGAACGGTCTGTAAGTACACCATAATGATATAGAAAAAATCGATTTCTTTTATTATGGGAATTCATTTGATGAAATTGCCACAAAAGATAAGGAATTATTTAAGCTAGTTCACATATCAACAGGAGGCCCAGATGACCTGTATTGCTTGTCTTGATATTTAATGCCAGGGATATACATGTATAGGACCAGTACTCCAAGTCAATCTTAGTAGCATACGTATTTCCAAATCTTCATTCGTAGCAATTTTATTCATTTATTGTGATAAAGTGAGGACCTCAATCCCTTCCATGTGATGACCCAGAGACTAAGTAACCAGGGGCAGGGCAGACCCCGAATCCAATCCTGGTAGTATATCAGTTAATGTTTTTACATTTTTTTAGAAACTACATATGTACATTGTACATGTTTGGTTATGGAGTTGGGATCTCAATCATTTCAAAGTCATCACACAGGAACTAATTCGCCAAGTTTATGGCAAGGCTCTAGTGACAATCCTTGTATATATGGCTATTTGTCTCGTCATGTTCATTGATTGCATATGTGATTATAATTTAGGCGGATTAGAAACATTTCAATGTTGCACCAAGGGACCAAGTCCATATTAGCAAGGGTAGATCCTATGACCAATCCTGGTACATGTAGCATATCTTAATTCGAATTTCCATACACTGCACTGTTTTTAAGTTGTGACACAAAAACTAGGTCCCAGGGGATGTGGCTAGACTCCGGGGTCAATTACTATACCATGGTTGGTTTTGTTTCTTTTTGATGTGGGATTGGGATTTCAACCGTTTCAAATTGATGATAAACGGATACCATGGTACGGCATAAGCTCACTTGGTCCTTCTTGGAATGTTCATGCACAGGAAAAACATTAATTCATTAGGACAAAACGATCTTTTGTTTCAGCTTTCTCTATTGATCCTTCATTTATAGTTTTGATTGTTTCTGGTGATTTTAATCATGCTCTTTCAACATATGAAATAATGTCCCTATACAGAACCATTGTAAAATACTTTGCACTTAATAAATTCTTCTTCGCTGTCATTTTTCGACGGCGGAAAGCAGAAATACAACTTTTTGTTCGGTTGGCCTTACTGATACAGGTATAATAATGAATAATATTCATTTAGTTATTTGTTATAAGCATCTCATTTATTAAGTGTATCAGGAGGTAAGTATCTTCATAAGAATATTAAACTTGTCAAATGTTTAAGATGTAAGGTTAAAATTCTTAATGTGTTTAAATGTCCACAGATGTCAATAAAACGTATGATCAGAACAGACAAAGCCTGTTCTTTCCACAGTTCAGTTGACTAAGCACAGAGATCAGCATCCGTTGTCTGGACATGAAACTGGCTAATTGGTTGGACTATCAGGGTTTTCATACATTTAGATTATGAACACTGATAAAGTGATGAATTATAGGGAACATTTGAGCACAATAGGAACTAGGACTCTTTTTATCAAAGTAAGTACAAGATTGAGCACTTGCTATCCAATAACACATGAAGATTTCAAATCTTTTACAATAATGTAAAATTATCTTGAGTACCTTGGCTAACGCAATGTATTATTACACATGTTGACTTATTGTTTCATTACACATTAACAATTAAAGTTTAATTTCTTGAAGGTTATATGCTGAAGGTCGTGACAGGTCTAAGCAACACATTCCCGTCTTCGTATCTATTTTAGCGTGCACCTGAGCTAAAATCAATAGACAACAGTGTGATACAATCATCTGTTCAATATTTAAACACCCCTTAGAACATGAAAGCTACGCTGTTTACGAATTCTGTTCAGTATATCCCACGATACAGATACAGAGTGTCGAAGTGTATACCTTCCCACAAACTGTAACGGCAGACAAGTCAATGTTTTTTAATTGTCTTCACTAGGGATATATGTATTCTATGAATAATCTTAACAATATTTAGTTTGTGTTCACAAAGCTGTTGGATAATTAAGATGAATGCAACAAGACGCAACAGACCAAAATAGAACAATGTGCACTGATGACATTACCTGGTCACATGGAGAGATGAAAGAGCTGACAGGTATCATAAGCTGGGCTGATGCCGGTAAATTGAATTCTTAATATATCATACAAAATTCTTATTGATTTTGTATGTAATCCCATCTCACAAATGACAAAGAGACACCATACCTACTGCAAGATTCCTTGGTTGTGATTCTACCAATTTTCAGATTCCTGTGAATTTTACCAGTGGAGAAACAGCAAATAAGTAAGAGGTAAGAAACTGTTTATATCGAACATAGCAAGATAATAATTAAATTTCTGTTACATTTGAATAGCATTGACATATTAAAAAGTAAATTTTCCCCAAACTGTTTTGTCTAATAATACAAAGAATATGATACTGCACTAAAATTTAAATGAACAATAGCGAAAGAGTGTAACCGTAAATTTATGCAATTGCGAAAATATCGATTTAAATGACATATAAACTTGTGTTCTCTATATAATATAACTGACTGGATTATTATTTTAAATGCTGACATAGTATTGAGATTGAAGCAGGATTGTCCCTAACCCAAGCAGTATAAATGGGGAAACTTTACTTCCATGCTACACTTATACATGTAGCTTAATGTGAAGTGTGTAAATATCTATAAAATATGAATAAACATCCACGTTTTGTCAATACATTACATGGATGTTAATCCTGATATACATGTCTAATGTGTATATGTCATATTCAATTACTGATGAAGTAAAAATATCCGTGTCTTGTATCATTTTAATTCACTGTTCAAGAAAACATCTGTAGTTTTGTTTGATGGATATCTACCTTCAAACAGATAAAGTTACAATTGATCTTGCAGCATACACCAGATATACATCTGGATATAGAATTACAGCAGACACCTGACATATATTTAATATACAGGGTTACAGGATACTTCACACACAGTTACAGTTGATGCTATCCATATTTATATATCAGTGCAGATACAATATATACACTAGACATACATCCCAATACAGTTATGGTTGACACTAGACATATACCGGGTATCACCTGCCATATATTTCCATGTAGACTTACACTAAACACTAGAGATGTAACCAGATACATGTATAGAATTACAGCTGACACTAAAAACTATATCTTCATACAGGGTTAGCGTCAACACCAGACATATATCTCCATACAGGGTTATCGCCAACACCAGATATATATCTCCATAGGTAACCAGATACATGTATAGAATTACAGCTGACACTAAAAACTATATCTTCATACAGGGTTAGCGTCAATACCAGACATATATCTCCATAGAGAGTAAGCGTTAACACCAGACATAGATTACCATAGAGAGTTACAGTAGACACTAGACATATATCTCAATACACGGTTAGCGTCAACACCAGACATATATCTCCATTGAGAGTAAGCGTCAACACCAGACATGTATTACCATAGAGAGTAAGCGTCAACACCAGACATATATCTCCATACAGAGTTACAATAAACACTAGACATATATCTTCATACAGGGTTAGCGTCAACACCAGACATATATCTCCATACAGGGTTAACGTCAACACCAGACATATATTAACATACAGAGTTGCAGTAGACACCAGACATATATATCCATACAGAGTAAGCGTCAACACCAGACATATATTAACATAGAGAGTTGCAGTAGACACCACACATATTTCCATACCGGGTTAGGTTAGCATCAACACCAGACATATATCTCCATACAGGGTTAGCGTCAAAGCCAGACATATATTAACATACAGAGTTGCAGTAGACACCAGACATATATCTCCATACAGGGTTAAGGTCAACACCAGATATATATCTCCATACAGGGTTAGCGTCAACTCCAGACATATATTAACATACAGAGTTGCAGTAGACACCAGACATATATCTCCATACAGAGTAAGCATAAACACCACACATATATCTCCATACAGGGTTAGCGTCAAAGCCAGACATATATTAACATACAGAGTTGCAGTAGACACCAGACATATATCTCCATACAGAGTAAGCATAAACACCACACATATATCTCCATACAGGGTTAGCGTCAAAGCCAGACATATATTAACATACAGAGTTGCAGTAGACACCAGACATATATATCCATACAGAGTAAGCGTCAACACCAGACATATATTACCATAGAGAGTTACAGAAGACACTAGACATATATCTCAATACAGGGTTAGCGTCAACATCAGACATATATCTCCATGCAGGGTTAAGGTCAACACCAGACATATATCTCCATACAGAGTAAGCATAAACACCACACATATATCTCCATACAGGGTTAGCGTCAACCCCATCAACACCAGACATATATTCCCATAGAGAGTTACAGAAGACACTAGACATATATCTCAATACAGGGTTAGCGTCAACCCCAGACATATATCTCCATACAGGGTTAGCGTCAAAGCCAGACATATATTAACATACAGAGTTGCAGTAGACACCAGACATATATCTCCATACAGGGTTAAGGTCAACACCAGATATATATCTCCATACAGGGTTAGCGTCAACCCCATCAACACCAGACATATATTCCCATAGAGAGTTACAGAAGACACTAGACATATATCTCAATACAGGGTTAGCGTCAACATCAGACATATATACTAGACATATATCTCAATACACGGTTAGCGTCAACACCAGACATATATCTCATTATAGGGTTAGCGTCAACACCAGACATATATCTTCATAGAAAGTAAGCGTCAACACCAGACATATATCTCCATTGAGAGTAAGCGTCAACCCCAGACATGTATTACCATAGAGAGTAAGCGTCAACACCAGACATATATCTCCATTGAGAGTAAGCGTCAACACGAGACATGTATTACCATAGAGAGTAAGCGTCAACCCCAGACATATATCTCCATACAGAGTTACAGTAGACACTAAGACATATATCTTCATACAGGGTAAGCGTCAACACCAGACATATTTCTCAATACAGAGTTACAGTAGACACTAGACATATATCTCAATACAGGGTTAGCGTCAACCCCAGACATATATCTCCATACAGAGTAAGCGTCAACACCAGACATATATTAACATAAAGAGTTGCAGTAGACACCACACATATTTCCATACCGGGTTAGCATCAACACCAGACATATATATCCATACAGGGTTAGCGTCAACACCAGACATACATATCTCCATACAGGGTTAGCATCAACACTAGATATATATCTCCATACAGAGTAAGCGTCAACACCACACATATATTATCATACCAGGTTAGCATCAACACCAGACATATATCTCCATACAGGGTTAGCGTCAACACCAGACATATATTAACATACAGAGTTGCAGTAGACACCAGACATATATATTCATACAGGGTTAGCGTCAACACCAGACATATATTAACATACAGAATTGCAGTAGACACCAGACATATATATCCATACAGGGTTAGCATCAACACCAGACATATATCTCCATACAGGGTTAGCATCAACCCCAGACATATATCTCCATACAGGGTTAGCGTCAACACCAGACATATATTAACATACAGAGTTGCAGTAGACACCAGACATATATCTCAATACAGAGTTAGCGTCAACACCAGACATATATTAACATACAGAGTTAGCATCAACACCAGACATATATCTCCATACAGGGTTAGCATCAACACCAGACATATATCTCCATACAGGGTTAGCATCAACACCAGACATATATCTCCATACAGGGTTAGCGTCAACACCAGACATATATCTCCATACAGGGTTAGCGTCAACACCAGACATATATCTCCATACAGGGTTAGCGTAAACACCAGACATATATCTCCATAGAGAGTAAGCGTCAACACCAGAAATATTAACATACAGAGTAACAGTAGACACCAGACATATATCTCCATACAGGGTTATAGTCACACTCCAGACACATATTTCCAAACAGACTTAAAAGACACTATATGTAAAACCTCATACAGAATTATAGTTCGAATTATTCTGACGTTTCGTCGACTTTTTTCATATCGGTCTGTCGTCAGTCGTTTATTGACGACAGACCGATATGAAAAAAGTCGATAAAACGTCAGAATAATTCGACTAACAGAATTACAGCAGACACTAGACATATGTATTCTATTGTGAAAACATAAAACAATAAAATAATCCTGTAGTTCAGAATGAAAAGATAATGATATTACCTACCAAAGTGATGCATTGGAAGCTTGGTCAGTTTAATGAAGGTATGTGCACATAACAGTACAGAACTATGCTCTCTAACCTTTGGCACAAATGCAAGGCTGGTGTTGTTTTTAAAGTTTGCTATCCAGCTTTAAGTACAACTTTAGGCTGGTGTTGTCTTCAATTCCTTGCCAAACCTTCAGAGCAATGCCTAGGCTGGTAATGTTGCACTTAAAGAGGCATTACATATGTAATGAACTTGCTTCTTATGATACTATTAATGACATGTGCAAGACGTTTGATTAGATGTTCTTAGTTTATATAAATTGTGCTAATCGCGGAGATTTGAAATTTGGTCAACCACCATTCACAAAAACTATAAAAGCTCTCTCTCGCTTCATCAGTCTCAATAAACAATAAAGGTTATCCCCTTTAATTGGTCTTGATTTTAATTCTTTTTTTCATTCTGAATCAATTTCAAAGTGGCATCAATATCTTTAGCCCATTCAAATTCTCCAGCAAGACTCTTCTGAAGTTCTTTAATTTTACGCTATGGGTAGTAGGATTTGCTCTCTATTTATAAATCTAACTTTGCATAAAATAATTCCAATGTCTACTTTATAACAAAACACTCAATGAAATGTAAAATAAATGTTTCATAAAATTTTAACACATTTTGTTTACGACAGAGGTCTGCCGAGTTTGCTGATGTTTGAAGAATGTTTTAAGAACATATAACTGAATGAGAATCGGAACTAGATATTAACTCTGTTTGTTATACATTTGAAGTACTCAAAACAAAATTATTATGATTTCAGCAATCTGAGGAGCTATTTTCTAAAGGTAATGCATATTTGGTATCCTTACAAGTACATGTACGGTATTCCTTAGAAACTGAAAAAAAAACTTAAAACTTTAATCATCAGACACAGCTTCAGTTTACCATTAAGCAATTTAAGGTAAAGATTAAACTTGTGAGTCTTTTATCAGGATAGCTGGCCTCCTTTGTGTCAGGCTTTATTGGTTTTTAAAAGTAGTATGTTATTAGGTCTTCAAACAAGTACTCTGATTTTGTAAAGAATGTAAGCATTCCTAGCGTTCTCATTAAAAGTCAGTTACGACACAAGTAGGTCAACATTATAGGATGTAAAAATTCAACCTGCTATTCTTTCAATTCAATCACCGTTTTAAAACTTAATTGGAAAAATTATTCATGTGTGTAAATCACCTGAGTCTCATTATTTCTTCTTTCAGAACATGATTTTTTTTAAAATTAATTTAACAAAAATAACCTTTATGTATACATCAATAAACAAAAGAATTTTGATAAAACTAATTCAGGTCATTAACCTTGATCAGGTGTTCCAATTTATTATTTATTTATGCAGATGAGTATATGAGTTAACTGTATATAGACTTCAGTAATTATAGTCCACTCTTCCTCAAAACCCAAAGTTTACACACACATCTCTGCACCCCTGGAAAATGTCATGACAAAATTGAAGACACACAGTTAGCTACAGATATAATTGACCAATCACTAGGTAGCTGTTACCTGTCCTTTGAGGATTACATTTAGGGTGATGGCAACAACTGGTTCAACCGTTTTCAGTATAATGTGATCCGGCAGAATACTGTGATACCATGCCGCCTTCGGCATGGTATTTCAGTGAGATAGCACTATAACGTCGACACCAGATCCCCGCTATCACAAGGAGGCAAGCACAACAAAATACCCTTTCTCCTGCATAAACACATGCAACATCGCATACACAACGCACATGGAGGCATGTCCTTAAATTACCTTAGCTGTTAATAGGACGTTACCAAACCTTGAAGATTACAGAGGAACTAAACCCAAATTCAAAGCTTGTTGTTTTTACAGTTATGCTGTCATGTAATTCCTTTGATCATCACCAAAGACATTAGACCAGTTGCTTGTATCATTTGTAAGGTGCCGAGCCAATACTGGGGTGCAGAGAAGATATATGTATATGTATGGAAAAAGGAACCATTGTATTTTGAGTTTCAAGTTCACTGGGACAATGATTGAATATATGGTTCATTATATTGATATAAAAGCGTTAAATAAAAACTTTTCCTTCAAGTAATTCATTTAAATACTGACAACACTTGGTGCACCAATTGTCGAAATAGAGTCTTAAAAAAGGAAGTGTTTTTTTAAGTCCATTTAACTTGTACAATGCATTAACTTTTACAACTTATTTGTTTTAAGATAATTGCAGTCATACCAGTTGATTGGAGGAGCACCATACAAACCTTTGAAACAACAGAGCCGTTATTACTTTTAAAAAAGCAAAAGTAATCCATTGTGTCTGTGCAATATCTTTTGTAGACATGGAACAATATAATGTTTTAATATAACCTTCAATATTGGCATAAAGAATGAAATATACTGTAAACTGATCAAAGCTTCAACTCCCTTAGCTACATAGTAATTAGATGACCTCCTTTACGGCCTCGTGTAAATGAATGGGAAAGCTAGTGAATGCATGGTGGCTGTTCGATTAGCTGCTTGATTTGTAGTAACAGCTTGAATGGGGCTCAAAGCTTCATTTTAATGTAAGGCCATCAACAGTTAGCCACTTACATTATTTCAGCATGTGATTTTGATTAGCAAAAATTTGCTTTGCAATCTACTTTCTTTTGACCATTGTTGTACAATATTTTGAGGTTACGTACTTGGGTTGAATGGGAGTCAAGAATTGTATCTAGGATTAAACTATAATGCTTTAAATGAGCACATATATATATATGTTCATCTGAAATGGATTGTAATTTTTCTAACAAATTCCATTCTTCTCCCAATATTGAACGAAAATGTGGGGAAATAGGGAACACACTTACCTATGACGCCTTTATAAAGCGGCATCTTTTTCTCCCGATATTTCTCTGTTTGAAACTTGGCTCCTTGTAACTTCAGTCTGGTGTTGACCACCCACAATGGAGTAGTCACCAGGACATTGATCACACCTGTAAAATAGTCAAACTTGTCAGTTATGTGTCTGTAAATGTTTTTAATAACAAAAACAATCTGTACAGCACTTTGATTTTGCAATCAAAGATTTCAAGCTAATATTCAACAGAGAATATCTAATGATATCCTGCTGAACATCATTTATATTTCAATTGTGCAGCAGAACGCTTCAATATTGTCATAAGTGTGCTTAGCACTCTACTATATGCAGGTAGAGTTTATTAATACTATTTTAGTTTTCAAACTTTTTCAGGCTGCGATTTTAACAAAAAATCAGACTCCTTAATGTATATATACTGTCTTCATTGGTAAGATATGTAAAATAATATCTGTCATTGAATTACCTGAACCAACACTGATTTCACTATTACTCTTATGGAGACAAAGAGTTTCATCAGAGGCATACATTTCAAGTACACATGTTACAGGTATATACACTCAAGTGATAAAATACGCAGGAGAGAGCATTACGAACCCTCATAAATATAGCTTTCTCGATATAATTCATTACTTTTTTTTTAACCTTATTGTTGAATTTGTACTAAAAAATGAGAATAAACTACAGTATGGACCTTACTAAACAACTAGGATATAGCGCTCAAATTCTTTACTTCCTCCGGGAGATCATTCCATTATTCAGTAAGCATAATTTTCGCTGTGATTCTGTACTACAAACCTGCTATAAATGCAAACGTAAGATCCTTGAGTGCATCAGGCTTCCCTGTATGACCTAAAAATACGGCCTTCAGTCCGTTATAGGTGTAGAAGTAGACGAAGTTGGAGCAACACAGTGATGTCAGTACCGGCATCAACCCTCTGTATAGGGACAACCTGTCAACATTGTGAACACAACACAGTGATGTCAGTACCGGCATCAAAACCTCTGTATAGAGACAACCTGTCAACATTGTGAACACAACACAGTGATGTCAGTACTGGCATCAAACCTCTGTATAGGGACAACCTGTCAACATTGTGAACACAACACAGTGATGTCAGTACCGGCATCAACCTTCTGTATAGAGACAACCTGTCAACATTGTGAACACAACACAGTGATGTCAGTACCGGCATCAAACCTCTGTATAGGGACAACCTGTCAACATTGTGAACACAACACAGTGATGTCAGTACCGGCATCAAACCTCTGTATAGGGACAACCTGTCAACATTGTGAACACAACACAGTGATGTCAGTACCGGCATCAAACCTCTGTATAGGGACAACCTGTCAACATTGTGAACACAACACAGTGATGTCAGTACCGGCATCAAACCTCTGTATAGGGACAACCTGTCAACATTGTGAACACAACACAGTGATGTCAGTACCGGCATCAAACCTCTGTATAGGGACAACCTGTCAACATTGTGAACACAACACAGTGATGTCAGTACCGGCATCAAACCTCTGTATAGGGACAACCTGTCAACATTGTGAACACAACACAGTGATGTCAGTACCGGCATCAAACCTCTGTATAGGGACAACCTGTCAACATTGTGAACACAACACAGTGATGTCAGTACCGGCATCAAAATCTCTGTACAGGGACAACCTGTCAACATTGTGAACACAACACAGTGATGTCAGTACCGGCATCAAACCTCTGTATAGGGACAACCTGTCAACATTGTGAACACAACACAGTGGTGTCAGTGCTGGTATCAAAACCTCTGTATAGGGACAACCTGTCAACATTGTGAACACAACACAGTGGTGTCAGTGCTGGTATCAAAACCTCTGTATAGGGACAGCCTGTCAACATTGTGAACACAACACAGTGATGTCGGTACCGGCATTAAACCTCTGTACAGGGACAACCTGCCAACATTGTGTACACAACAATTTTAATTTATTGAATAAAATAACAGTACAATTTGCTAGCTATAGTATATATGAAGATCATTTTCTGACTGAAACAGACTCTGGATGAACGGGATATACACAATATTTATCACTTACCCTACTTTCTTCATGAAACTACCAACAGCTATATTTAGAGGTCTTTTAACTTGAAACAGGTTTTTATTCAATGATACCTCTTTTATTGCTTAAATGTCTTTTTCCTTTTAAAGTAAAAGTCAAATAGTCTGTTATGAGTTAAGCCACTCTTTCATGTTGTATACATGTATATAGAAATGGCAAGAGACAGTTAACATGTAGTTATACAGAGTATGTACTTAAAACTACTAGATAGATTCAGTTACCATGAGTCCTCATGAGATACTTACACCCCTTCCTCCCTTGCTATCTCTGCCATCACAACAGGGGAGTGCTTCGCTTTCCGGTGGTCATCAACTTTAGCGTAAAGATTGAAAATATTAAGTTCATAATTATAATGTACAATAGTCTCAGGATCATGCAACTATTTTAATTACGACAACTTAGTCTTCAGTTTAGAGGATTCATCTCAGACTTATCATAAAACAAAGATCATGGACTAGGACTGATCTGAATTTTACCATGAATTGGAGATTGTAAGGCCCCACTGGTTATGTTAGATCTACATTTTACCATAAGAGACATTGGGCTCCATGAGCAGAAAAGTCTCTTTCAGCGAAATTCAAGTGCCCTGTGAAAGCTTATTATAACAAATATAGTTCATGGGATATTCAATAAATCATCAATGCCTGTTTACAAGAATAAGTACAGTCTACATATATATATATATATACAGAGGGTTAATGTCTACTGTACGGGTAGTTAATGGAAGTACTTTTCCAATATGGGAAGCTTGAAAGTCCATTACTTTAATAATAAACCTTCGGGTAAATGTACAAAATGTGTCCAGCTATTGATTTCATGTTAGATAAAAATGCTAATATTCATGCGTGAGTGGTTGATATACACGTACACTTGTACAGTGAAATATCCGAGGTATTGTAAAATTAAATGGTTTTGACTTTTCTCGGATGACTTCACACCTAGTTGTGCATCTGTCACCTCTGAAGAATCACAATGTACAAATTACCTTTCCGACAAAAACACTTAATGATGGGATATTCATAATAGAAACTACAAAAATTGAATAAACCCATTCACCCCTGAAGTCACATTTGGACCTTACCAAATCAAAGACTGGGCGAGTCCAGTTTAAATATGTAGGGGTGAATGAGTTAAAGCCCTGGGGTTTTGTATCACTCGATCAGCTGGCCATAAATAGCATGCAACATCTTCCTGAATTGGTGTGACCTTCAGAATATATAGGTCAAGATAATTTATCTAACCCTTCAGTCCAGCATTATATATAGATTTGGTTTGTGTTCATTATGGCCAGCAACATGTAGGTTCAAAAGATCAAATGATATTTTTTCTTGGTTATTTTTTTATTTACAATGTTATAACCTTTAACATTTTTTAGAATAATCAATATTTACAATATACATGGGTCTTCATTGGAATTTAAACACTGGCCTTTTAGACCTATATATCTCTCATGTTTCTGATCAGAACTGGACAAGTTGAATATTTCCACTATCTTGAGACCAGGGTGGCCATCTCAGATAATCGATGTTTGGGTATAAGCATTTCAGGATGTGGTGTGCACTTAGTTACTGAAAAAAGGCCCAATGGTCCTGTATCATTCACCTGTTATTCAGTGTTGTTTGCAAGCACATTGATATATCTGACCTTCAAAGTGGGTCAATTTAATCTTTATAAAAATTTAACAGCAACAAAGCTACATACAATGTATCAGTACCCTTTACATGATCAATCTTTGTTGAAAACATTTTCATTGAATATCCTATTTAACAATTGATATTGGTCAAGATCCCAGCATGCCACTTATATCATCACCCTTGGTCTCTTGGTTATTCAGAAGAAGTCATTTAAAGGTTTTAATAGATTTCAACCTTGTAACCTTGAAAGTTGGTCAGTCATTTATTTGAACAAACTTAGCTAATATCCCTTCATATCCCAGCATGCTATATACCTAATATTATGACCCTGGGTCTCTTGGTTGTGCAGAAGAATTTCAATGTTTTCACAAAATTGACCTCTGTGAACTTTAAAGCAGGTCAAGGTATGGCCCTTATTCCTAACATGCGACTGGCCAAATATCATCACCCTAGACCTCTTGGTTATTCAGAAGTGGTTGTTTAGTGTATTAATACATTTGACCCACAACCTTGATAGTATGTCAAGGTTATGTCCTTTTAATTCATTCAGGCATGCTTATGGCCAAGTATCATCACAGGTCTCTAAGTTAATCAGTCATAAGAGTTATGTTAAATGTTTTAACAAATTTGACCCCTTCGACCTTTAAAGAAATTGTTAATATAGTTAAAAGTTTACAACGGATGGATGATGGATGCAGCAAATTGGCATAAACTCACTTGACCCTTCTGTTTTTGCTCAGCCTCACTTTCCTGACACTTTAATATCTTTTGAAACTAGGAGGTCATTGTGCATATCTGGCGAATAACTCTTGACAGCTTAACACTTTATGATACACTGTTTTGAGTTTTAGGAATGTTTTGAATTTTTTTGAAAAGTCATTATTGATACAATTTTTAGCTAACATATTGGCCCAAAGGATCAAGTGAGCTTTGCCATAGTGCAGTGGTTAGTCTTACCAGGCATCACATTTTACTTCAAATGACTATTAGTCCAGCGCTATTGAAGGAGTTTTAACTGAAATTGGTAAGGATAATACATGGGCAAATAAAATAACATGCGGTGGAAATGAAAGGTGTGGTCCCCCTAGGGACAGGGCTGAGGGGCTCAAAATTAATTGATAAAGTGGTGCATTGTGGGACTTACTCTGAAGCCTTGTTCTTGCTGTATCTAATGGATAGAAAACCACCATAGCCACCACACTGCCCTGTCAATGAAATAAAAAAAAAAAATTATAACAAAGTAACATATATGTTTCACACATAATAAATACATTTGTGAGCAGATGCAGCGATGACTTCACAGTATGTTTTGGGGTTGGCAGGTGCAGGTCAGGGAACTGCAAACACAGATACTACTTTATTTGGCCTTTTGTATTTTTTATTAATTAATATTATGTCAGTCTGTAACTGATATACATGTAGCAGTTCAATTATAACCTCACTACTGTATAATTATTGATGATAACAAACAAATAGAATTATTGAAATCAGAATTTACTGTAAATATCCTGCAAAGAGCCCAAAGAGCCAACACATAATCTCTGACTCTTAACAGGAGATGGCATATAACAGGATGATGAAAAAGCATATGTTTCCATTTCTACTGATGGTAGTGTATTTGGGTGGGATTTCTTACCAGACGCTGGCTTTTGCCAGATAAATATGGTAGTTGTACCTACCTGGTCACTGTTCAACAACAACGTCCACATATTTGACAACATTTCAATTAACATTGATCACTTGTTAGTTATATTAATACCATATATCATCAAATGTTGGAGAAAGACCAGTTGATAGGTATATGGATATATGTATTTTTTACTGAATGAAGCACCTGGAAGGTGTAAGAAACAGCACATACAAATATTATACCTCCTCTTAATATTGCAATGTTAAAAAATGTCAGTAAATCAATCAGTATAAAAAATAAAGTTACTGTTAAAGGATTAAGAAAATCTTATTGAAAATAGTCTACAACAAATTTTAAAACTACATATTTATTTACACTTCTTTGTAAATTTAAGCATGTAAATATTTTTTATTGTGTTTATTTCCTGATATTCTGAAATGAGGCCTCAGGTTTAAAATCTGAAAAAAAGTGCATTGAGTTAAACACATACAACTTACAAATTTTGCTTAAAAGATGATATTTCTTTTCCAAATTACTATCTAAAACATCAGAATTCAATGATTTTTAAAATTAAGCTTATAATTACTTTTAAATGTATATGCATATACAATCAAACAATTTTATTGGGAACATTTGACAAAAAACTGGAAAAGGAGAATATCTTATAGGGAATTGGGTCAAATGGAAATACAAAATGATTCATAATTATTCTGTCCATCACAAAAGCTTAATATAGCAAAAAGTAAAGAGAGCCAGAGGTAAATCAAGGCTTTCTGTTTTAATTTAAGGCACAACAGGACTTTGTTTAGTCACAGTTTAAAAGCTTAATACTTCATATAAACTTTTTCAAATGATACATTCTCTATTTTATACAATTTATTTCACAATATATGTTATTATATATACATGCTACTAAAAACTGTACCATATTACCACCCTTGCATTCTTAAATATATGGGGGCCTGTTCATTATGTATACCAACCAGTTGTTTGTCTATGTTTCAGGGGTAAAACTTGATACGTAGACCTGTAAATGTGATGCAGGCCTTGAAATTCTTTGCCAAGGCTCGCCACAAAAACAACATAAAAACCATTGACTAGCTGTAGGTCCATCCCTATTTCATAATTGAACAACTTTAGTCCAACTGGTCCAACTTTTTGGAACACTATAAATGGAAGTTACTTGAATCTGTTGTTCATGATCCTAGGCGGCCAAGAGTGGGCTGGAAAGTGAAAGGAAGTCAGTGATGATGCCAACACAGTAGCTAAAACTAAATATCAGACGACTTCTACAGTATTACTCTTATTAGTATCTAGCATAGAGACTAATAGAATCTTACATGGGTCTGTTCCTTGGACAGGGATATCTCAACCCAAGTGTAAGAGTTTGGCTGGCCAGGACGAGGAATAAACATTGATCTTATTCTTCCGACAAACCCCAAAGCCCTAGGGTTGAGACGGATGATTCCCCATTCACAACAATTGTATGACATCACGGAAACAATAAAATGACGTCACGTCGACAATCCATTATTATGACGTCATAGTGCGTGTCAGCTGTCTTTCCCTAACCCGTGTAAGATAGAGTTATCTATTCCCTAGCAACAACAGGATCACCCTGTGAAGTATGTGAGAAGGGCTTGTGAATTATGAATCACTACTGAAAACTCCATTATTATTTTTACAATTTAAGTGTCTGTACAAACGACTGAAGTCGACCATGAAATCTGTTGAAACTTATTCAGTTTATTAGTCTAACTGACAAATAGTCAACAAAGTCGAAACAATTGGAACACCACTACATATGATAACATTTCCATTTGTGAATCAGTCTGTAAGTAGGAGTGCCACAGTATCAAAACAATATGTGACACTAACATTACAGTAATATACAACAGAAATACAGACAGATAAATGGACAAAGAGACAGGTGTAAGCATGAAATGTAAAATTAATGAACCAAAAACAACAAAGGGTAGTAACTCTGTTAGTCCGAATTATTCTGACGTTTTATCGACTTTTTTTTATATCGGTCTGTCGTCGATTAACGTCAGAACTCCGACCCTCTATAATATGCGGGAAATAAGCGACCCGCGCCTGGGTCACTCTTCAAACTGATATTTTAGAAACAAATCGTCACTTTCACACACATGTCGCACATGGATCGAAAGATCTATTCTTTATGCACAAGATGAACATAAATTACATGCCTCAAACAACCAATACAATCAATAAAAACATATTTTTTCAAACTTACTCTGTTTTACTTTACGATTTTGATAGCCCCGCCTTCTAATGCCACGTGACTAAAATCTCGACGGCCTACGCCATAACGTTGGGAAATAACTTCGGTAACGCGAGATCTCGTCAAGTCATGTGACATGGCTCATGTCCTAATTTCAATTTAAAACATGGGTTGGTATAGAAAACGTTGGAAAATACTGTTTGTAATGATCTTTGAAACATATTATTGATACCACTTAGTGCATAAAGAATAGATCTTTCGATCCATGTGCGACATGTGTGTGAAAGTGACGATTTGTTTCTAAAATATCAGTTTGAAGAGCGACCCAGGCGCGGGTCGCTTATTTCCCGCATATTATAGAGGGCCGGAGTTCTGACGTTAATCGACGACAGACCGATATAAAAAAAAAAAGTTACTAAAACATCAGAATAATTCGGACTATACCTCTGTGGAGCACAAGACCTGATCTCAAAATGAGACATTCTGCCTTTTCGGGATACATTGTCTAGCAAGGATGGTTAATAGGTAAAAGAATGCTACTACTCATGTCTATAATTGGTATCAAAATTAAACCAAGAAACGTAACTCTAGATCTGTATATATATATTAATTGCATATCCTATACGACCCACTGGCATTTCCCTACAGCATAATTGAGCATAACGCGTAATGTATCAAAGATAATATATCGGGGATAGTTTGATCAGTACTACATATATACACTCCCCCTTTATACAATTCATTAAAACATAGCAATTTTCTTTTGGTACAGATGGATCACATTCATGAGTCTTGATAACTTACAATGTACATCTTTGACATGAAACATTAATTTAGCTTTGAATTTATAGCAGTATCAGACCATTAGGCATAACGTTATGAACTTAAAATTAAAGATATACATGTACTAGATAGTGTACAAAGCAGTCATACAGGAAGTGCCCAAGTCAACGGTACGTGTATAGTACCGTTATTTTAAATCTGTTAATTCAAATATAATGTATCTATATATACATGAAAATCGTCTACATTTATTTATTCTTTTGCGAGTGGTCACGCTTGATTTAAAGTCAGCATATAATATAAACGTGCTGAAATAAGCAGGTATCATTATTTCAAGAGCAAACTTTGGGGGGAAATTGCAAATTGGGTGTATTCAATTGTAATTGTGTCAAGAACAGTGAGCAAGGTGCCCTACTGCACAATATATACACCCCAAATTAATATAAAGGGCGATTTATTAAAGCGCATTGACCTGTAACGTTAGCCTTAGCTAGCTTACCGCTGCGCCTGAAACTGCATGCACCAGATTATTGTAGGTGAAGACATTCCTCAGCAGTGATGTCCCCATGCTGTCTGTACTCGTGTCAACTTTGGAATGCATTATAGTTAGATATCACAGATTTGATGATAGGCGGAATAGAGCGACATGCGAATGAGTTAAAGTAAAAGTGCAAGCGTCTGTTTGACACGGACGTATTTTGATCCTAAGTAATTCAGTCGTAGTCTACCATATTTGTACCATACATATGCTAAAGGACGCCCATACATATGCGTAACATTTTATCCAACTTAGATAAACAATTAATCTGACAAAGGTCTGACCTATTCAGAGGGCACACATTTGAAAATATCGTATTTTTATTAAGGATATTTAAGATACCGAAAACAATTAATCTGTCGTCCAAATTGGGATATTTTGGACAATAGTAGTAGTAATTTCTTAAACGTCTTTGTTTGGACCTCTATCTAATTTTCTATTTTTTCCCTTTCTTCTTACTTTTCTTTAGTTGTTGCAATGATGCAAAACTATAAACAAACGATTAAAAAGTTCATAGATTTTCTCCAGGGATGTGTAGTGGACCACCACTACGCATCCCTGATTTTCTCACTTTTTATCTGTCATTCAAGTACTCCATTCCATTTTTCAAAGAACAGTAATTTTTTATTGAAATATTCTTTAACAACAAGTCTACGTAAATCATTCCGTATGTTTAAAAGTGATCATGACGTTTCATGGTGGGCACCAGCGTACAGCTCGACCTACTCTTTTCTTACATGTACTTAATTGACAACAAACTGTCGAATGCTTCCAAGAACTTGAGATCATGATGGACGTCTCAGAATTTTAATTGATCTAGCAATACTTGTTAATTGCAACGCCAGAAACACTTTTTTTATTGATCTGCTGGAATAATCAAATTAAGATGTCTCCAGAAATTATAGAAGACAAATTAAGGCGGATACCTTTGGATTCAAACCATTGGCTGCATAAAGAGTCAAAAATATGATCGTTAGCATTTATCATTCAAGTTTGCTTTCTTCAGTAGGTACTGTAAGTTCTGATTTTAATATAAGAACGGAAATAATTAGTTGATGTTAACAAATTTCTTTTTATACTCGTGTTTGTCAATTCATTCATTCGAAAGAATCGAAAATCTAACCCCGGAATTGTTATTGATAATAATTTTAACAGTGATATAATGCATGTAAATATTACATTACGCCGTTTATTCAGACGCAGAAGAGACTGTAGTGTCCTTTGTTTTAATTTCACGAGTGTATATGCACGATACACGTGGTAAACTGTCTTGATATAGTTAAAGAAACATATTTCAGACCTACATGTATTTCTTAAAGAGAAATTATAGGTCTTGGCAGGGCCTTTGTCCTTCTGATCAATACACTCTTTGATAAATTCAACGTCATATGAAAAAGAACAAGTCGACCAAGAGAGAAGTCCAGGTATGCCAAGAGTCTGCTCGAAAATCTCGACACAGAACTCAAGAAAGATCTTGTCAAGTGTCTTTTGTCATAGCCTTTATACTATGTGCTAGCCACCACAAATATGCTCCAAAACAACTCACAACCATTTATTTGTAACGTTTTTCGCCTTTATGGAGAAAAAGGGGGCAAATGCTTTAAATAATATTCATAATCCACATTCCATTAATCCCAATTTTATAGTGTAACAGTACAACTCTATCCCTGATTTACAAGATATGCTCCAAAATAGTTCACAACGCTATTTGTAGCGTTTTTCACAAAAGCACGTCATATTCCGTCTTTGCGTATTGCAGAGTTATCTTCTCTTGGGAGCAGGTATTGATTGTTACGTCACTTGTTTGTGAGAATAACGTCATCAATTTTTGAGAAAAACGACGTAATTTTCTCACACAGACCAATGACGTAACAATCAATCCCTGCTCCAAAGAGAAGATAACTCTGCAATACGCAAAGACGGAATACCTATTTTAACTTAACCTTTATGGCCGTTACGTGGTTATAAAGGGAATGTATACCATTATCTTAATGTAAGGCACAAATTAGTTCAGCGATATAAATTAATTCAAATAAATGATAAGGGTGATGAATCTTTAATCTAAGAAATAGGAAATCAATATTGTAACTTATTCAAATATATATATATCTACATGTATGTATTAAATTATTACCACAACCGAATTTAACCAAACGTTAGTTGATTCACGACATTATATTGAAAAAAGTACAATAACAAAGATAATATAGGGTAAACTTTACGACAGACGTTGTTGAGTCACAACATTAAATGAAAAAAAAAAAAAAAAAATGAAAAAAAATAATTCTAAATGTATGAATTATTATGACTGGTTGGCCATACGGTCGGTGGGCGTTGTTGTAGTAATGGTTCTCATCGTTTGACCGACCTTATTTTATATTATCAGAAATCAGATAAGATCAATACTCTACGTAGGAGTGTCTAGACGTCCAGGCAGAATAATGACCATTTAGATATTAATAATAATAACAACGTCTCAAAAGTATACACATAGCGTTACACTCTGTGTCTAGACGTAAATATGTAGTGTGTCCCTATGTATTTCATTTCATAAGATGGCAATATGTAAAGATACTGTTTCAAAAAGGATGACACTACGTAAACTTGGCAATATGTAACCGTATTTAATCTTCTCTGTAACACACGTTTTGTAGAGTTCCAACTAACTCCATCCTCGGTATCTGTTTACATGTACACATCAACCAAAACTCAATAGTAGGCGAAAACATATGTCCAGATATTATTATGAAAGACCAAACACATTTAAATATCATACATTATTCAATTCTGAAACAAAACATGAATTGACATCATTGGCTATTTTTTTTACCGATATTAATGACATAACTAATTTGCGATACTATTGTCCATCCTGTTCCACCATGTATTATTGTCACCCTTTTGTATGTATGTTTTCTCTACATTGTATTGTTTATGAGAATAACACAATTGCCATTGCCATCGGTATTCCAGGAGCTAGTGTCGTTCACTTACATTCTCTGCCTAAGTGATGTAATTACGGGTAACATTTAATACAACACATCACAAATAGTCTTAACGAACACATTATTTGGTTTTACCCGACAAATATCTAACGCATGGCGTGTTCATTTTTTACAGGTAAGAAATACTGACGTCACGATGGCCTATAACATGCGCCTGATCGCTCACGTGGCTTGTGGTTGTGCCGCTCTGTCGTTATCACTCCTGACGATTGGATTCGCCACTCCCGGCTGGCTCGTTGTCAGAGTAACGCCCAAGGACACTTCTATATGGAATTTCAATCATAAGGTATCTAAGCATAATGACAGAACATTAAAATATGTTTAAAATGTATTTTGCGTCACGGCAATCAACGTGAACATAATATTATATAGAGATGGAGAAAAAAAAGAACCCGAAACAAAAACAATTTTAAAAGGTTATGAATACTGACGTGTGCAAACAATGTACGTATTAAACGTGTTGTCAGCGTTTCAACCCTTTGTCAGTGTATAAAGTAAAACTTTGACATCGCATATTTTCAAACTGACGAATTTTATTAAAGTGACGAGTGGAATTTGTTTTTGTTTCTCCTATTTTGTATAAAAGAAGCATATGTTTTCGATATTTCCAGGACAGAGAGTTGACAGTGTACGTGAGCGTGTTTTTCGCGAGGTTCTGTACCAACCAACTGTGTGTAATGACCAGCATACAGGATGGTATGGCCAAGTCGGAGCAGAATATGGTCCACAAACACCTGTGTAGGTATACAAATACTGATACAGAACATGTTATACAAACATATATATATACAAACAGTAGGTATACAAATACTGATACAGAACATGTTATACAGACATCTATATACAAACAGTTAGTCGGAGATTTTTCTAGTTTTTGCTATCCCTATACCTTTATATGTTTCCCTCCAACTGGTCAATAGTTCAAAGACAACTGCGACATTGTTTATTTTGTCGACAATCGTATACATATTCAGTATGTATTAGCTTATGGTATCATAAAAACCGGAGATCAAACCATGTACTTTGGTCATGTACATGTAATAAGAAATAAATCCAGAAGAGTATGTTCACCGACTATCCAAGACACAGTGAATACATCTTTAATCAAAATAGAATATCATAGTAGGAAATCAGTTTATGATGACGACGGTAAAATATCTTCAATTTAAAAGAATCTCCGGTAAAACCCCTGTCTGCATAGTTATTCTGACACGGTTCATACAGATATACTAGTTTAATAGTCAAATTCTATTGAAGCCAAGCGTGGTAAATATGGAACTTATTAAGGGTTTCATGCACAAGCACCTTGCCATTTTCGTTGAATTCTATATAGTACGTTTCAGAACACTTTAGAAATGTTTTTGTTTTACTTTTAGTACCACTAATGAGTTATAAATGGACAAAATGACCATACGGTGCAGTAAATGGTTTATGTTTGTCTTTTTACATCGACAAATTGACTTTTAAATAGTTGCACGCTTTCTTCGTATTTCTAGAAAATGTTTTAACGGTCAAATGGACACATCTTCCTAGACTGACCCCCGTCTTTTAACAAATATGATTTTGCTAAACATTGATTGCATTAAATGTCTCAGAGATTTATCCATTAAGATAGGTATCAACATAAACTTCTCTTTTCGTTAATAATCCTCTTATATATCCATCGACAGCAATCCTAAGGATTTTGCATAGGCCTTGCAGTTGATAGATGGTGCTTCTCGATATTCCGAACCTTTCACAAGTAAATCTCGAAGCTAATTATAAACATCAATGACGAGGCCACCCGAAATGACATAACTAATAAAGTCTGTAACAACATAAATTATGCTCAAGAACATGACCCTCTGCTTCGAATTCGTCCGTTTATAGTTAAATACTTTATATGCCATACGAATGAGAATTTTTGGAACATGTTAATGGTTTTAAAAATTCAAGCAGTGTATATAATATAAATTGATAAGAAACAAATAAAATTCGATCGCGTAAATTGAAAAATAGATTTGAAAACCTTTGCTTTAAGCATTTTTTTTCTCTCGAAACATGTACAATGTTATCTGATTGAATGCTTGTTGTTTTACTCCGTTTTGCGGTGATAGCTAGAGGTTTGAGTTGGAACATTGAGATACAGGTGGAGTCGGTCATCACATTATTCTGCGGACTGGTCGGACTCGTCCTCCTCATAACATTCAACAGAACCAAGGCAACGAAAAAGGGACTTGGCATTGCTGGACTCTTCTGTCACTTGGTCTCAGGTAGGCTCTGTTGCAGTTAACACGCATGCTGAATCTCGAAGTAACTATCATGCATGTCCATATCTATCGAGGCTCGTGATAAAACAAGCTAGTTAAGACCCAGCAGTTCATTTACTTTTGGCATTTTTTTGCGTCGAGTCAAAAGGGCAAGTAAGACTTGTTTGACAAAGGATCTCTTCAACGTTTTATTATATATATTTCAGCTAATCTGGTGACCGTTCTCATACTGAAAATGGCAGCCATTAACGGCCAGATGGAAATGTACGAGGATAATGAGCTCCATTTTGAGGTATGGACACCGTATTCTATCGCCATTATCGGAGCTGGAGGATTGATGTCCTACTTCACGTCTCTGTTCTGTATCGTCATGGTCTGTGTGCAGCAGTCGAAAAACGTCCCGATAGTCGTGGAGGAGGAGGACATGCAAGGGAACAATCAACATCCGAATGGCAATTGCGTCCGTTCTAATTCAAACGGCTATTCTGTAATTCTACAAGACTTTCATACGTGTAGTACCATTCCAGAATCTTCTACCACCGAATCATTAAGATAAAACCTTTAAAATATTCTATATTTTTGTGTTCCGACATCTGTTACTACATACATATGGGAAACTTTTGCGACATGGAGTAATTCGTGTATTGTAACTCGTTGATGTATTACGTAGAGTAACCTTGTGGTACTATAAATGAATGACGTAACAAAAATAACGCTTTATTGCATTGGTCATAAATGTACATGTATCATTTCACCTACTGATTCTGTAAAGAAATGTCTCGATGGTACATATTCATTCCTATGATTATATGACAGACATGTGTTCCTCACTTAGTGACACATTAGACTACTAAGTATATGTACAAATAATGGGTGAACCCTATGGCAAGCCAACTTAACATTTATTCAAGGAGCAATGTCGATCCTGTATTTCAAAAAAATGTATAAGATATCTTATATAGCATATGAGATATCTTATATACTATATAAGATATCTTATATCGTATATAAGATATCTCATTTAATTTTCTATATAAGATATCTTATATAATATATAAGATATCTTATATAATATATAAGATATCTCATATAGATATATAAGATATCTTAAATAATTTAAGTCTCGTTACTAAATAAGATATCTTATATAGGAACGAGATTTTAACAAAATGTCGAAAATGAAGTCTCCCCGTCCGAAATATCTCGAGGATCTAACTACGTAGGGACAGTAGGCTTGTTGTAACAACAAGTGTTCCTGTCGCCGCCATTATGTTTGAGCCCACTTCAAGAGTGCGCAAAATGGCAGCCTCTGCTTTGGCCGCTATAAGAGAGACAAGGCGAGCTAGGCCTAGGGAAAATACATCAGATTCCATCTATGAAAGGACAGTGGAGCTGTTCTCGTCGTCACGTTTGAGTGAGTGTGTTCCGAATGATTCTCGAGGGAGAAATTAGTTTCTGGTTTTTAATGCCACGAAATCTCACTCTATATCAGATATCTTATATAGCAACGAGATTTCAATTATATAAGATATCTTATATAATATATGAGATATCTTATATATAGAAAAATAAATGAGATATCTTATATGCGATATAAGATATATATATCTCATTTAATTTCTATATGAAATATCTCATATAGTATATAAGATATCTTATATATTATATAAGATATCTCATATAGTATGTGAAACATATCCAATGAATGTTTCACTCATTCATGGATTTCATGTCAACAGATGGGTTCTATGGCAAGCCAACTTAACATTTATTCAAGGAGCAATGTCGATCCTGTATTTCATCGAATTATATAAGATATCTTATATAATTATATAAGATATCTCATATACAATAAAGATATCTTATATCTATATGAGATATCTTATATAGCATATGCGATATAAGATATAAGATATCTTATATGCGGTATAAGTTATCTTATATACGATATAAGATATCTCATATATATATAAGATATCTTATATCGTATATAAGATATCTTATACCGCATATAAGATATCTTATATCGCATATAAGATATCTTATATCGTATATAAGATATCTTATATGCTATATCGCATATAAGATATCTTATATCGTATATAAGATATCTTATATGCTATATAAGATATCTCATATATATATAAGATATCTCATATAGATATAAGATAATTCGATGAAATACAGGATCGACATTGCTCCTTGAATAAATGTTAAGTTGGCTTGCCATAGAACCCTTCTGTTGACATGAAATCCATGAATGAGTGAAACATTAATTGGATATGCTTCAGGATGTGCGGAAAGGTTGATATTTGAACATATATGCATTAATTTATTGACATTATTAAATAATTTATTTAATTAAAATGATAATATTGTGCATTCTATAATGATGAAGTAGCATTTCGATTTTTATTTATACAATTTGTGAACAAACACTGATTTCGTTTGGTGATATTTGATAGAATGAAGTTTTGGCAGATTATGACAGGTATGTTTTACTGTAACATGAAACGTTCTAGTTTACAATATTTCACTGTATTACACTTAACATTTTATTGATGCAAACGTTTGTGATCTGCTTTGGCATACAAACCCGAGTTAAGTTGAACTGTATTGATATTCGTTGTCCCAAAGCAACACGAAAACGGAAAATTTTATTATAAGCAGAAATGTATTAAGTATATAATTTTATCTACTTACACTTTGGCGCATTAACATAAACCTTACATATTTATTCTTTTTGAATATAAGACCAGGAACGTTGAACATTGTTCACCAAATGAATTGTATGATGCTATCTTGTCTCGCCCACTTTAACTTTCTTCAGATTTTTTTAATGGACTCTATGTTGACCACTTATGCAACCAACCAAAATGATTGTATTTTTAAAGGATGTGGTAGTTGAAGACCAAGAGAGGTAACTGTTACGAAAATCTGTTTTGTTGAAGGATCAATTTCTCAATCGTCCATGTTCTAACCGTTACCACAACTTGTTGGGTTACACTTCGTATATTAAATTCATAAATGTTTTCCCGGCTGATATTTAATTAAGGGTTCCCGATGAGTTTCGGTTATATTTCAACACTTGAAAGATATAAAAAAAAAGTTCTGGATATTTTTCGTGCATCATTCTTCATTAATGCCACCAATGGAATAAAATTATAAAGACTAGTGCCAAAAATGTACAAAAAACAGTTCTAGACATAGACCGAACCCATTTTACCTAACTGTTGCTAGATAAGACAGTTATCTATCTCTGCGCCGACTCTATGTTTAAGTACAACTATATCCAAGGGCAAGGCAAACTATGTAAATTATAGATATAGTTTCAACTTTGTAAATTACCTACTTATATGAAACTGTTTGGTTGTGTATGCTATTTCATGAATAGCTATTATCATTATTATATTTAAGTTCACCTTCGTACAAATACATCTTGAAACCCAAGAAAATCCATTAACGTTTTCCAGGATTGGGAACGAGACTCGTCAGTTTGATTGAACACAAACAGTAAATAAAAACTTATTTTGCGAGCTTTCAAAACGTCTGTTTCCTTGGTCTAGTAAAGAGTGCAAGTTTTCTATTACTGTTTGTGTTCAAAACAATTTTTATTAAGGTTTTTTAAGTAGCTCAATATTTTTTATACACTGGTCTTTGAAATAAATTAATTCCAGATGCTACATACGTTTTGTTACGTAGTGCAGATAATATTTTCCCTTGTACTTTTCCGCCATTTAGATGTCATACCCTGTTTCTTGTATGATCCGAATACTGTTCTACATGGTGTCATCGTTATGTCTAAAGGTACCTTATACATGTACCACTATCGAAAGTCAACGATATTGTAATATGTCATATGTCTAATAAGTGCTTGTTGAAACATGTATTGGCTAGGTGGTGGGTGCCGACATGCAATTTGTAAGACCTTGTTTAGACGAGCACTTTGAGTATAATTCCAAAATAACAGGAAATCCTGTTCTTTACTTATATATTTTATGAATATATGCTCCTGGAGGGAGATTCACTCTGGGAGTTTAGTTTAAGAATGGTTAAGGTTCAAAAGCACATAGAAATAAAACATTTGGTTCACAACGTGAAAATTCAAATCGATGTCATGTATGGAAATGTAAATAAGGAAGTATGTGTGTTGTCTCCCTTTTTACTTCAGATGTCTAAATGGTCATTGTAATATAGTTATGCTCTCTTGAAAAGTATACAATAGTTAACAATTAACTACATTGTGATTTACTTGTTACACATGCGCTATTAAACATCATTGTTTAATGTTTTGTGTAAAAACCTTTCTATTGAATTTAAAAACCATACACCTATGTATTGCGCCATGCCATATCCATGTACATTGTACATATACCCACAAAAGATAAAATGTATTTATGGAAGTAAAACTATATTTAAATTGATGTGGTATATGATAATGTGTACTATTTATAAATATACTATGCATTGACACAAATTAAGCTAATAATCACTTCCCATTGCCAAAAAATGGTTAGAACCGATTACGACAATTGAGAATTCCCATTAACAGATACAGGTGCCACTACAACTCTCTAAGACTGCTTAAATTGTAAACATTGTACAGAGTTCCATGGACGGTTTCAGACCCGATACATTCGTGTGTGTTATATGCCGTGCACTAGTCTGTCTGACGCCGTTACGACAATGGCGCGCCACACAGTGCTGTAGGTGTGTATTGATCTCTAAGTAATGGTGGTTCCATTGCATGCTAGTCGGTTGGCGCCAAAACAAATCGACCCAGGTCTACTCATCATGGCGTTGGATCTTCATGTGGGGCTAATCAGGATATCTTCGTTCATGTAGTGGAGGTACAGTAAGATTCATCTTCACTTACTTTAGCTCCTTCATTTGTGACTAGGTACTTCCTGGTATCATAGACATTTGGTAGCAGAGGTTATGTTTCAGAAATATATGATGATATATATACACACACGAAGATATAGAGACATAGTAGTATATGTCAGACATTTATTTGAACGAATATGCACTTTATTTTTACAATACTACCCGAGAGATAGTTTACTATTCAAAAGGGCATTTCAAATTAAGATCATGATGACCATGCAATGTATGAATTATGAAAATGAGCAGTGCTATTTTAAGGGACGAGTCATTACTCAGAAGCCTTGACTGTTAACGTGCTGCTATCAACAGCTATATTGTAGTTTTTTGTGTATAGATACACGTTATATAGGTGTGTAGTTGTATTGCACCAGGTATGTATGTATGAGTTCTATACAGAAGAGTTATATACGTATACTAGTTCAGAGATCCTCAATCGATATCTACGATTTAAAGCTCTGCGTTAACTTACTCCATCTTTGTATTGTTCTGTGATATTATGCAATCTCATTTTTACGGTCAATGGCACGTTCGTTTAAATCATAAATGTTTTGACTTCATAGGTTGCTGAAACATTAATCTTGATTATGCCTTTACAATAAATTTATCTTACCAATGTAGTTATCTGTTAGAATGTATCAGGGTTACCAAAATACAAAGATAGGAGATATTATGGTATGTTACGGAAAGCGTACAGGCATTACCCATTAAAAACCCTTTTTGAAAGACATTGCCGTATTAACCTATGACATCAGGTTTAAGATTTTGAAATATTGCTTACTAAGTGAAACTCGTCAACTGTGTTAAGGTACACATATAAAATGTAATACCTATTTGAAAAGAGAAGTAAGGAAGCACCTGTAATTGTTATTTGAAATCGATGAAGAAATTCAAACAAAGTAAACGTTTTACCGCTCCATCCGGTCGCTTATAATGACTAATAGAAAAGCGAAAGAATGATAGCACATGAAAAAGCATGAAAATAGTTCCACGATGAAGAAAAATCAGACGAAGTAAAAAGCTAACTGCACCATTTAATAATTTCATCCATATGGGACCAATCAGTTGTACTTAATATAAAAGGAATGAAAATCCAAAATTAAAGTGATGATCCCTTATAAGGTTACTTAACATTTTTTTAGTAACAAGAGAAAATTATTCTTAAACTTGCATTATCTTGTAAACTGTACCGAAATACAATTATTGATGTTTGTGTCATATACTTGCTTCTCTTTTAATAACCAATCACTAAGGATAGGCATTATGGTTTCTAATCATGATAACTGATTTACCTTATTTAAATTGTAAGTAGATGGATAAATCTTTATATCAGTTAAGATTAATTTGTTCGTCCATATCGGATGCCTTCAAATAGATTCATTTCAATATCTTTAATATTTTCAGTGATTATATTTGACGGCTTAGATGTTCAATTCAATCAGTGTAAACATACATTAATGTACATAAAGACATATTGGTAAATGACGTTAATACATGTATCAAAAACGAATTCCTTTAATTTACCTCAAAATAACGAACAATATATTAAACCACACCACACAAACAAAATCCCTTTCCTGTTTCCCATTGAAACATCCAATTTTCAATCAAAATTTCCGTAGATTTACATCTACGTCAATGTTTTGTATTGCAGTAATTCAAATGATGATCCTTGTTAATCTTCCTGCGGTCAAAGCATGGTATGATAATAATGTTATCTCTACTAATAAGCTACATTCAAAATTACAATTTGAAACAAAAGTGAATTTGTCTCAAAATGAATATTCGATTCCGAGATAAGTGAACCAATGTCAGAAGCGCAACATCTCTATTTCGCAGTATAGGATAGGCACATGAGACCGACTCAACCATTGTATATATAATAGTGTTTTAAGATTAGCTCTAAAAAGCATCTGTGATAACTCCCTATACACATGCTAGCCCGGGACATCCTTGTGGCATACATCATGAAGATAATTCCTGTACCTAGTTACCAAGCTACCTCTCAGCCAATATACCTAATAAACAAAACATAACATTGTCAGAACACACATGTCTGCCAACAAGTGAACATCGCTCAGCGCGATACACGTATTGAAACGCTGAACCAAATTGACAAAATATAAGTTCTTAAGAGAAAGAAATATGATCTTCTTACCTATCATTACTATCTATTGGACAATACCCATTACCATGCTGACAAGAACGTCTTATATCAATCATAGTGGCCCATTGCTACACTATCGGGCCTCATACAGCAGGCATGGAGTCTATTCCTCAGTGCCTAAAAAATAGTTTATAATAATTTTAAGTATATTACTAAAGGTTTGAAATAAGACAATACAGGTTGCAAAACACTATGTAGGTTACAATTTGGCACAATGAATTGGTAACCCTTAAAAGTTCATGTGAACTGGATGGTGTGATGTGATATAATTCTAAATATTAACTACTATCTGACGGGCTTTTCAAAACATCCGCATAACATCAGCACAGATTTAGTGTTTATAAGCTGGACTGTAGTTTGTAGATTATTTCTGTGTACAATATGAGGCTCTATAAGTCTGTATCGCCCACCTGTTATTCATGCTGTTGGCACGCACATCTTATATCGGTGACCTTCAAAGTGGGACAAGGTCAAATCATGTAAACAAACTAGAAAAAAAGCAAGCAAGTAGACTAAAACTTCAGACTTAACATAATTACTGTGCACCTAAAAGACTTTTGTTAAAAAATTGGTTACTTATTTAATTAATGTAAGAATGCCAATGTTATATATATTTGAACACAATTGATAACATGTTATTAAAACGGGCTTCAAGATTGATATTCTTATCTAGAACTTATGGATCTATAGAAGAGAAAGACGTCGTTTTCAGATTTTTACTCATTTAATCATGTGCTCTGTGACACTGAAAGTTGATCAAGGTCTTTCCCTTTATCAAAGTTGACAGCCCAATATTTGTCTTCATCCCAGAAAACTAGCAGTCAAATATCAGTAATAGAAATATAAAATGATATTAAACGAATCCATTTGAATTTATACAGATTTAACTTTTCTCGTTAACTAAGTCACTGAAGCATAAATTTAATGTCGGTCGAACTTAGTACCGTTACATGTAATCAGCAGTGTTATCCTAGGTGCATCATTGATGCAAGTATTGTCGATGTATCTAGTTACCTAGATATAGATGGAACAACTCAATTTGGTCATATTATCTTCTTGAAATGTATGCCAAATTTGAACAACCCTAGTAACATTATTGATGCATGTATGATACGAACATTTCTTTAATTAACCGAGATATAGACAAAGCAATACTCCGTCCCTCTATCCATGTCCTTGACCAACCAAACAGACAGCCTTGACCTCTTGTTTGGCGCAATGAATTGGTTATAATGAAGAAAACAAATATTCGCATAAAAGAGAATCTTTTAATCTAAAACATATTTTGCCCGGTGACCTCGAGAGCATGTCTACGTCATTGATTTGTACAAAGTTGATAATCCTATCAACCTTTGTCTCTTGGTTCTAAGAAAAAGTCGTTTAAAAATATTTTAACACATTTTACCTCTGTAACCAGTGACACTTGCTCAAGTCAGTCAATTGATCAAACCTTAAAGTTCTAAATCCAGCATGCTACAGGCTCCATGGCATGTCCCTTTGCAGCTTGGTATTCAGAACAGTTTAAATATTTTTACAAATTTGACCTCTATTACTAAGGAAGCAGATAAAGTTCAAACATTTAACAACAAAAGTGCTCCTGTTCCGAGTTGTTGTAGTCTATAAGTTAGGTTGCTTCTGAACTAATTGCTAGACGGTCAAACCCTTTAATAAATTACGATATAGAATTTGAGAAAAAAAACCCAGTTTATCAAATTTGTTGTTTCGAGATAATGTTCATATACCGATATTTTATCGTGATAACGACATATCGAGATCAGGAATTGTGGTTGAAGGAGAGATGATTTCTACTGAAAATAGCATTTATTTATAGAAATGACTAATTTGAAAATATAAATACAATTCGTAAAATACAAGGTTTTATTTCTAACAAAAGAAAAAAAAGAATTTCGGGAGCGCCAATTCATAAATGGTTTAACTGGAAAAATTCACGAAATGAGTACGTTTACAGTTTCTTACAGTGCCGTAAGTGAATTAAAGAGTTCTCTTGTCATGTTGATCACAGTCACTTTTCAATGTAAATTTGTATGTAATACGATATGATGTGAAGATTTTAACTGTTGTTGGATATTGTTTTTTCTTCAAATACTTTGTGTTGTAAATATTGATGGTTATTTTTACAGAACATTTTGGGTCATATGGCGGATTCCCGAATGGATAACAAAATATTAAAACACGTAATCAAGGAATGCTTCATTGACTTGGCAGACAATATTACCCCAAAATATATCTGCCCACATTTGTACAGGAACAATGCGCTGGACGAAAATGATTATATAGAGATACTTGATCCAAAAGACGGGAAACAGCGCAGTATTGAGCAGTTTCTTCTGATAACATTGCCAAAGAAGTGCACATTTGAAATTTTTCGGGATGCTATTTCTCATTCGTATGGCTTTTTATTAAAATCTTTGGACAAAAGCCGACAGGAATACGATACACAAATTGTAAGCATAGTGTCTGGGAGCAGAACCAGTCCCGAGAAGCCAGTGGTGATAGACATAAACACCGAGGCTCGACTGATAGCCGTCAAACAATACTACGACATCAAACGTACACACTGGAACGGAAACATTGTCAAATTTGATGTGTTTATTTCCGACACAAGGGATAGTTACACGTCTCTTATAGACACTATCGGAAGGTGGCAAAAATTACATTCCAAGGAATTATTGGATGGGCTCAACGACAGTCTAACGAAATTTGCCGATCTGTATTTCAAATCAATGATCTTAAAATGGAGATATGAAATAGGGAACACAAATCCCACAGTAACTCGAATGCAAGAATTGCGGTCATGCTTAAACGATATAATTTCTAAAACATCTGTACCTGTACTGTATAGCATGTCAGTGGTTGCTCAATATGCGTTAGCGATGCGCTCCGTCGGTGATCTAGACGAAGCTTTAAGGTGTGTTTATGCTGCCAAACAGATAGGTATATGCATACAAAATTGCCGAGAGAAAGTGAGTATTCTTTCCACCGAATCAAATACAGAGTGGGAAAGAAGTACACGCAAAGGTTTACTAGATACTGCTGAAAAGGAGCGACTCATTGGTTTGGTCAAAGCAGCAAGACTTGCAAACCGGGAATTAAAATGTACAGATTTAACAACGGAGAACGACGATGAAACCAGAGCAATACAAGATTTCGACAATGCTACAATTGTTGTGGAGGCTTTAATCAGAGTTGGAATTGATGACAAAGGAAGAAATCTTTCGGATGTAAAGGTTACCGAAACAGACTTGAAGGAGGCAAAACGCTGTTTTGACCACATCGAGCAAACAAATAACTGGAACATACTGGCGAAAAGATGGAAGATAATCTATTACCTAGCAAAGGCAAAAGTGTCTCATATTCAGGATGGCGATAGGGAAACAGAAAGGTTTGTCAAACTTGCACGTGAACATGCTGCCAAAGTGTCACATTTAGCAGAAATTAAAGGAAACGCCGATACTTTTCAATTATGATACTATTCGTTGAGGATACATTATTCCCAAATTATACTTCAATGGTCCTATTATAATTCCAGGGAAGATGGATGTATCACAAGGATGCTGGAGAACCTGGAACTACCAACACTCTAGGTCAGGCGAGCACAACAGAGGGTCACATTTATGTATAAGGTGGTTGAGGGGTTGATACCAACTGTACCTCCAGCTGATCATCTAACAAAAACCAGACCAAAAAGGAACATCAAAACCAGAAACTTCTCGGACTATATATCCGTAAATTTGGTAGAAACATCAGTGATAAATAACTGTGATCAATACAAGAACTCATTTGTTGTACGTACAGTCATAGAGTAGAACCATCTGGAAGAGGACTTAGTATGTGCCCTTACTTTGGAGGCCTTTAGAGTGCTATAACGCACCAAAATTCTAACTGAACTGCTCTCTCTCTCTCTTCCATTGTATAAAAACCGGAACCGGGAACTACAACGTAAAGATACAGATACGTTCTGGGTTGAGTAGAATCAAGCTCTATTTACTGATGATACCTAGGAATCTGTGAAGATCACCTGAAAAATACCTATCTGTATTTTACAAAAATACATGTATTTTACAAAAATACATGTATTTTTTAGAGAATATTATCAGAAGTTGATCTCTTCGGATTTCAAGACATGCAAAAATTGTATATAGTCATTTTTTATTATCATAAGAGATTTCGTTTTTCTTAAAAAAGAAGATTCATGTTATTTTTTATATTATTTCATGTTATTTTTAAAATCATATTTTTGGTAATACATTTCCATTTTTAAGTCTGAAATAACTTTGTGCTGTTAAAGTGGATTTTTTTGCGGTGGGGAAATGATCGTGTTTTATTTTAACATTTAAGTCAAACATACCGATCTCGGTACTTGTCCACTACAATAAAACTTCATTATCGTGTCGTTATTTATCCAGCATTGTAAAATAGTTTCGGCATTATAGTAATCTAGGGGTACATAAAAAAGAATTTAAAGAAAAATGACAAAGGGACCTTGACATAAATTATGGACATAAGATGACAAATTAAACTTTTATGATTTTATTGGTTTTTTTTTACTGTACATGCTTACCGAATGTATCAATTTTAACACTTTAACCTTGTTAAGAAAATGGTCGGATCACAAAAATAGACTTTCAGTCTATTTACTAGTATTTATTTGCAGTTTTTCATAGCACTAAATGAAGAACAAAAAAGTATAGAAGATATGCCCTGGACAAACATTTTCAAAAATAAGGGTCAAAGGTCAAGTCATAGTTACCTAATTTTTGCACTCCGTCTTCCAAAGATGTCCTTGTACATCAAATCTGGTTACTCCAGGTGAAAAAGTATAGAAGATATGCCCCGGACAAACATTTTCATAAATAAGGACCAAGGTCAAATCATAGTTACCAAATTCTTGCACTATGAACTCCATCTTCCCAAGATGTCCTTGTACACCAAATCTGGTTACTCCAGTTAAGGTCAAAGGTCAAAGCATATAAGTCACAGTGAGATCATAGTGACCTGCTTCTTGCACTATGAACTCCGACATACCAAGATATCCTTGTACACCAAATATGGTTACTCCAGGTAAAATAGTATAGAATCTGTGCTCCGGTCAAACTTCTCGGGATAAAACTATCCAAAACAATTGTTTTCTCCTTCTCGAGTTTTTACAGAAACCCCTTCTTTATAAAGATTTTCGTAGTCGCAATATCGTGATCAAACTCTAAGCGGGAAGTATCGGGTGTTTATATGGAACAATAAAAAATGATGAACAATGGTGGCCGTTACTACTGTGGAAACGAGAATTTTGATTTTGAAGCATTGATTATTAACAAATGTTTAAAATAGTTTTTATAGAATATCTTTTCATTTATATCCGATTTCACGAAATCTTGATACGAGGTAAATAACATCTTTTAATATTTAACAAGTGTCAAAAGAAACAGTATGTTCATGATTTCAAAATTGTTGTTTTGTTAAGTTTCATTGCGCAAAATTGCATTTAAGCCATGTTATTTGATCCGTATATGTTTTGTTTAGTTTAGTTATCGTTGCAATCCGGAGTCAGGATAAGCAAAGAATAGTGACTCTAAGACTCTGAGGATTCGGATGCCAAAAATGGAAGACTTTTTAAAGAAAAATATTAATATTTCCTATAAAGTTTCTGAAAGACCAATTTTGTTTCAGCCTTCATTTTATGTATTTCTTGGATATCAACAACGCATGTGTCTATTTATAGAAGTCATTAAAGTGAGCCAGATTCACTTGGAATTTTAAGTTGGGCGAATACCCAAAATGAAACACTTCCTCACATAAGTCAGTTTATGAAAATAACTGACAGCATTTAAAATAATTTTCATTTCAAAAATGTTTTTAAAATTTCTGACAAATTTTAATAATTTATTCCCTAAAATATTTTATTTGAACATACAGTTTTCCATTTTTAGAAATATGATATGATATTTATGTTGTCGCACCGTACTGTTTCCTGGGATTTTTTTTCCATTTCATTTTTTTTTTATATTTCAATGGAGTTTATGAACAATGTTCAAGAGGTAGGCAGATAAAATTTGCTCAAAATGCATACAATTTTTGAAATTTTGATAAGGGATACATACCATTCCTTTTTATTGCAAAATAAATAATGCTGCATCATGTATATAAACAAGGGGCCTAATGGGCCTGCATCGCTCACCTGGTCATCTCGGCACCCAACTTGCAACATATCACCACCCTAGGCCTTTTGTTTATTAAGATTAGGTCATTTAATGATTTATACATATTTGACCAAATGTGACCTTGAAAGTGGGTCAAGGTCATTAAAATTAAAAAGCTTGATAGTCCTTCACCCAAGCATGCTCCTGGCAAATATCAACATTCTGAGCCTCATGGTTTCTCAGGAGTGGTATAATTTTTTAAAACAAATTTGACCCCTGTAACCTTGAATATAAGTAAAGGGAATTCATTTTAACAAACTTGGTAGTCCTTCATCCTAGCATGAAACTTGACAGATATCATCCTGCACCGTTTGGATATTCAAAAAAAGTAGTTTAAAGATTTTAAACGTATTTGACCCCTGTGAACTTAAGTACAGGTCTAGGTCATTCGTTTGAACAAACTTGGTAGCCCTTTCTTCCAGAATGTTTCTGGCCAATATCATCAAACCTGGTAGCCCTTCATCCCTAAATGCTACTGACCTAATATCATCATCCTGGTCCTTTTGGTTATTCAGAAAAAGTTGTTTATTTTGTTTTAAACATTTATAAATGATTTGTCATTTATTTCAACAAACATGGTAGCCCTTCATACCAGTTTGCTTCTGGCCAAATATCATCACCCTAGGCCTTTTGGTTATTTAAGGAATGACAAAGATTTTTTTTTGGGGTATATACGGAAAAAAAATTGTGCACTTTGCATAAATCCGCTAAGCGGTTTATGCAAAAAAGTGCACAATTTCTTTTTGGTATGTAACGTATATACCAAAGATGTCCTTGTACATCAAATCTGGTTACTCCATAAAAAAAATACCAGTACACGTTGTAAATGCACAGTTAAAGATTTATTTAATTTTTACGTAAACTAAACAATTGCGCTAAAAAAAAGCTGCATTGTAATTTCGCATTCTGAAGTGTAATCAAAGTACTGAAAGTACTGAAAGCTAAGGCAAAAGATATATTATTATTTTTGGAATGGAGAACAAAATAAAGATGAAGTTCCCATCATATTGTACAGAAGGANTAACATCACGCGTGATCTAACATGGCCGTCGTTTCTTTTTTTAGAGTTTTTAGTAAGGATTTGTTATTTTAACGATGAACGAATATGCAATATTTTGATAACATTATAATCATATGAAGCGTGAATCAGATATATTATTACTGATTAGCACTTTTGATTATCCTCAGTTAGTTGGAACAGGACCGCTTCATAGCTCTGACCACGCAATATATAATTGTAAACAGGGACGTAAATGTCACCAATTTTAGCCAATCACAGGACAATATTTCCGTGTAAAGGGTTAATCCAGCGACAGTTCCAAGAGTAAATACGAAGTTTTAGAAGGATACTTAGTTCTAACTAAGAATAAGATTATATCCAATGACGTTTGAGTGAACTTGAGTCCGTGGTAATGGATTTTATTTGCAGTTTGTTTAGTATTACTAGAAGGTGACGTTATGTCTCGTTTATGAATATCTGAGCTCATTAACTGAAGTATTTTTACCGGAAGTTGCGTGTAGCATGCATGACCTACAGTCAAGTAGCAGTTCCCGATTGAGATAAACAGGGTGCATTTTCAATAAGAATACGACGTTGTAATAAGATCATATGTTCTATAAAGAAAAGGAATGATATTTACAAGCCATTCAAGTACATTTGAGTCCAAAGTTACGCATAATAAAGACAGTAGGTCCGGTATATGATTCAATTTAGTACCAGTGATTATCGCTAGAGGCCGTCTGAGTGAAATCGACATTTATGAATCTGAGCTCATTAACTAAAGTAATACCAATAGCTGGCGGCTAACGCCTTAGCTAAAAAGTAGTTCCGTCATCAGTTGTTTTTCTTTTTAGGTATATACGATATATAACAAAAAAATATTATGGGGCCAAGTTAGCTAAAAATTGTGTTCCATTTTGGGTACCATCACCCTAGTGTATCGAAAACAAATCAGAATTGGTATGTTATTTAAGCAACAATCATATGAAACTGAAAATAAGAAGGTGAAGATTTTGTATGGATTGAAAAAAGAATAAAACGTATTTTGTAGCATCTGGTTTATTTTCTGAAAACTGTCATTTTAGCAAGATTTTTTGAACACTGTTATTTTGATAAAGATTTTTCACAATTCGTCAAGGACTTCATTTGGTAGAGATGAAATAAAGCCCATCATAGCTCTATCTTTGTGCAGAATAACAAATAGTGTGGATCATCAAGATATTTTTAATGGCCTTATGAAGGTACTACTCTTTTCAGTAAAATTTTTGAGACTTGCTGCAAATTTGGATATCTTTTTTGGCATATTCAACAAAGAGTGTAGCCTTCCTCAAAAGATCTATATCAGAGAGCTTTTTTCTAGTGTAATATGTTACAATACAAACAATTTCTTGGGGACTATGCTCTAGCCTTCATGAAATAAAAAGTAAACAAAATCTCACCAAAAACGCACTTAAAACAGATACATTTGCAAACAGAAGTGATCAATTGTACAAATGAAACTATATGATTATATAGATTAAAAATAATAAATAAATTTCACAAATCTGCAATGCTGGTGACTTAAGAATAGTATGTATGTATATAACTTGCAAGCTCTTTTCAACTTGTGTTAATTTTAGGGAGAAATTTGGTATCACAAAAGTGAAATTTATTTCAAATCTTATTTATATCATCAAAATTACGTTTATAAAGACCGACAACCACACTACTATTTTTTTAAAGCTAACAAAGACAATTCTGCATCAGATACTCTAGGGATGACATTGACAAACGTTTTTGTATAGTACTCTATATTGTCGATGAGTGCCTTTCCCCCCATAGAATATAATTGAAGACTGTGCATGCCCAGCAAGACTTTTTCGTGTCTTCGGCACTAATGATTGTGTATGAATTGTAAGTCTCATTGAAATCGACATATATTTTCCATTTGAACATACCATAACTTTTCAGTATTTGTCAACAACACATGATTTCACCATTTATCACTCTACTGTACCTGCCTACAGAGCCAAAAATTGTCCAATATAACAGGTATTTGTGCTTCACCTGAACAAGAGAAACTTAGGAAATAGACGGGATTAAAAAAAACCACCTACCAGGTAACCATCGTTTGACAATGGAGTTGTTGGTAGTAAGAAATTGGGAAAAAACAAGAGGCCCAATGGGCCTGCATCGCTCACCTGGTATAAATCTCACACTTGTAACCTTAAAAGTGATCTAAAATAAAGCTACAGGCAAAATATCAGTATTAATGATTAAAAATCATTCAAAAGACCCTGTTAATTTTTTTAAAAACATTTCACCCCTGTGATTGAAAGTCGAACAAAGTCATTATGTTGAACACATTGTATAGCCTTTCATCTCAGGATGCAACTTGCAAAGTATCAACATCCTGGGACCCATGGTTATTCATAAGAGGTTGTTTAAAGATTTTAAACAAATTTGACCCCTGTGACCTTGAATATAAGTCAAAGTCATTCACTTTAACAAACATAGTAGTCCTTGATCCCAGCATATGCTACTAACTAAATATCAACATCCTGAGCCTTTTGGTTATTCAGAACAAGTTGTTGAAATATTTTAAACATATTTGCTCCTTGTGACCTTGAATATGATTCAAGGTCATACATTTAAACAAACTTGGTAGCCCTTGATCCTAGTATGCTACTGACTAAATATCATCACCCAGGGCATTTTGGTTATTCAGAAGAAGTTGTTTAAAGTTTTTAACATATTTGACCCCTGTGACCTTGAATATGGGTGAAGGTCATTTATTTGAACAAACTTTGTAGCCCTTTATCTCAGCATGCTACTGGCCAAATATCATCACCCTGGGCATTTTGGTTATTCAGAAGAAGTTGTTTAAAGGTTTTTTAAGACAATTGACCCCTGTGACCTTGAATATAATTGAAGGTCATTCATTTGAACAAACTTGGTAGCCCTTCACTCAAGCATGCTACTGGCCAAATATCATCTCCCTGGGCAGTTTGGTTATTGAGAAGAAGATGTTTAAAGTTTTTAACATATTTGACCCCTGTGACCTTGAAAATAGGTGAAGGTCATTAATTTTAACAAACTTTGTAGCCCTTCATCCAAGTTTACTTCTGGCCAAATATCGACACCCTAGGCCTTTCGGTTATTAAGAAGAAGTCGTTTAAAGTAAAATATTGACGCCGGATGCCGGACAGACGGACGACGGACGCCGCGCCACGGCATAAGCTCACTTGGCACTTCGTGCCAGGTGAGCTAATAAGTCGACAGTATATAACAAGGTGCAATATAAAGATGCATTACTATGTACATACAAAATATACACGGCCTACAAAATAATAAAATGTATTTCAGGTAATAACTATTCCAATAATATATACACAAAAATAGTACCGATATTTATGCTTCTTGCAGAAATACTTCTGAAAATATACTTTTAACTTTACAAAAAGTAAATATAGATATTTCATTGAAAAACTCAAAAATGGTCAAAACCATAAATGGATCTGTTCACTCTTTGAACTAGCATCCAGAATGAATGCAGATCACATTTACTTATACATATTTTAATTATAATATTTTGTTGGTCATATAATTAACACAATACTCTTTTTGGCTAAAAAGCACCATATTTTTGTCAAATTATTGACGAACCTTCAAGAACATTCACCATTCCAGAATTGTACGACAGAAAACCTGAAGCACTAATAGTACAAGTATCTGTATTTCAATATTTAGTAACCATGCATTACTATGGAATCACTTCGACATTTAACAACAATGTGTCCCGTTTAACAGCAGACTTACTATGCTTTAAATAATCAACTGTATGTAGTGGCTATTTTCCCCATGCTACTTTGGTCATACATTGACTCTGTTAACATATGCCATCAGATTATCATTTAAAAAATCAAGTTTGGAATATAATGGTGAGAACCGGTCGGATCTTATATTTTATGTTTAGACAGAAATGATCCAAAAATTGTTTACACACTTGCATATATCCTTCAACTATTGCAATAATATAAGTAGTCAATCCTAATTCACAGGAATCCCAATCATATCTTATTTCTTCTAATAATAAAAGTGGGGTAATGCAAAGTATCGATTCCTATAAATGGTGTCTCAATATATTTTGGCACCATATCATACACTATAAATATATAGTACAATATAGGTGACTACGATTGTTTAAAGATGTTATACTAACAATGATTCTAACTCAAATTTGTACTCGATAACAATAACAAGTATTATCATGGTATCTTTATCACAAGAGCTACACGAGGAATATACCCAGCAACACAACCTGAACATTATCTTCATATACTGTACCTGTTCTTTATTAACAATTTATAGATTTTAAAGAAATGTGACAGTATCATGTTGCAGTAAAATACAAATATGCCATACTTTCAAATAAGACTGTTTCAAACCTTTTCAATTAAAACTCTTCTTAGTCAGTTTTTTCAGAGATTTACTGAGAAGATTGTTTGTAGGTTTTGCTTCATGTATAGTAATTCAAGCATTAACTGCCAATTGTTTTATATTTCCATTATGCAATTGCATATCATTTCTGTCTGAGGCCAAAAGAGAGATTTGTCCTTTTTTATTGCACCATTCTTCTAAATTGAATCACTTTTGCTAGGTATTATAGTATTAGCTACATGTACAAGCCATTCGGATTGATGTCTCACCTGTGCCCCGCTTTGACCATCAACATACATATCAGAGAATCTAACTTAACGCAAAAACTTAATGTTGACGCTGCCGCCAGAAAAAGCAACAGCTTAGTCTCGCCACCACTATATTCAATATTCAATAACCTTAGATCCATGCTTCCACTTCATGGCGGCAAAACAAAAACTACCAAGGGAATGAATGTGTGGCTTGTGCCAGCTTACTGAAAAAGTGAAAATTCTGGCACCTGGAAATGGTTGTTTTGGGACTCTTCAAACCAATGCTTAGAGTGTTTCCAGTATTCCTTAAATGACTAGACAAAAGTGTTGAAATAACTGGCGAGACGCGACTTCACCGAGTAATCACATCCAACAAAGTCAATGAGACAAATGAAACAGAGTAATTGTTTATAACATCCTAATTGAACACAACTTCTTAACATATTTTGGGAATTTAGGATTCTTAAACATATATGTTCACAAAAAATGGAATTCATTGAAAAATATGAAATTTTTCCCAAGATTTTCTTAACAAAATGTATTACAAAACAAACTTCTTAAAAAAAAGGTTAGGCCAAACCAAATTGACTTTTTGATCTTTGGATTGCTTTATACTGAATTTTCAGAAAATAGTTCCAATACTCTTGCAGTCTTACCATTGTGTCAACCATACATTCCATGTTTTAGCTTTTCACTTTATAAAGCTATTTTGAACTTTGCTAATTTCTAATAATTGATAGGTGATTTAATTTGTAGTACTAGATTCATTATGAATCCTATACACTAGACCATACAAACAGTGCTATTTAAAAACAAATACTTACACCAGATTGTACGGTTGTTACAAACAGATGGAGTGGCAGCACCTACATCATTCTGTATCCAATATCAATTACAAAAGCACCACTACATACTTGAATTACAACCAATGCACGATGACCAAAAATACTATTGTTTGTACACTTATTTTCTCCCACTTAAAGTATAGAACAACAATTCAATTTGGAGTGGCATAACAGTCATACATTAAAGATGACAACAATGCTAATGCAGAACATATAAATTCATGCTTTCATTGGACTATAATTGGTGCGTTTCCTCTTGGAGCCAGGTGAGGGTTGGTCAACCTTGGACGGACGGTTAGATGAAGATGCTGGACTGCTGTCAGTGCCTGAACTATCGTCGCGTAATCTCTTTTTGGATGTCTCACTTTTCAAACCATTCCCTAATCCTTTATTAGAGCTGCTTGGTACTGGTGACTTCACATCTGAAACATAAACCAGCCTCGAATCATGACAAATATGCACATCTTGCTTTCTCATTATTTCTCTAAATTTTAATACAGTAAAAATATTTTGGCATTATAAAGAGGCTTGAAGATTATTTAAACACCAAGTGAGACATAAAAGGGTTCATTGAAAATGATACAAGCATAAGCAAATGTAAAATACTGTTAGTGGACTTACCTAATTGCAGTATGCAGCAGTTAAATTTTGTCCATGGAATATATATCTTAATTTACCTTGAGGTTTGTTATATCTAGGGAGGTACTAGTCATTGTGCCAGGACTATCAACCAATAGAACTGTACACACATCTGAATTAGATTATACATAAATTCTCAACACTGAATTTCCTCAGTCTTCCAAATACAATTTATGTAAGTATCTCTTGACCATGTTCCCATGAAATTGGATCATATTTAGTGAAATCACTAACCATAATCCAAGCATCAAATAGAGATATGATTAATTGAAGTGAAATCTTATTTCATTCTCATAGAATCTAATATTGAGTCATGCTTTTATACAATAATAATTTAAAATCCAATGAGTACAGAGCTTAGTAGCCGAAGCATGCCCCATTGGTTTGGCCCTCAACCATATTGATGAACACCGCATTAAAAGCAACCATATGTTCAGACTCTCTAGCTATCTGTCCTACAAAGTTTAAAGTTACATGATCCTAAAAACACACTCATACAAAACCTTGCTTTTCAAATATCTCGTATCTTAAAAAAATCTAGAATAACTTTATTTTGGATTCCGAGACATGTCGGAATTAAAGGCAACAAATTTGTTGACAGAGAAGGAAAAAAATTGTGAACTTTCTAACAAACAAATATCAAACTACCATATACAGATTTTAAACCTATTATTCGTACAGCCATTCAAAATGAATGGCAGCAATACTGGTCTCTCAAGACCAGCAACAAACTTTTTAAAGTACAACCGAAACTTAAAACATCTGTTCCCAGTCGGAAAGATCGTAGAGAGGAAGTTGTTCTCTCTCAGCTCTGTACTGGGCCCACATATCCTACTCATTCGTACCTTCTATTAAAAATGAGAAGATCCATCTGCATGCCACGTTTTTATCCAATTTTATCCTTGCCACTCACAGGTTTGTTTAAAAAAAGAAAAAAAAAATTCACCATGGCCCTAAATGATCACAGCTGTCGATGGGCGTTAAACACAAACAAACAAACAAACGGAGCTTAATTTTTGACTTTACCATTAGATTCCCTGCCTGTTTTTCTCTGTGATGAATTGTGTGTGTAGAAGTGAAGTAATACTGAGGACACTGTGTCGCCAGTTGGTTGGCTTACTGTGTACGTATCAACTGTATAGCCGTCCCTAACCTCCTCGGGCACCAAGTCATCCACATCCTCAAACTGTCTGTTCACAATGTCAAGGACGACCACCATTGGTCTGTTGAAAGGAAGGTAATTAATGATACATTTGTGACAGAATTGTTTGTAGTTCACTATCTCGGTGTCCATCCTGCGAATGCAAACAATGGTAGTCCCGACATTGCTCACCCCTTCCTCCATAGATGTCCCCTCGTCATCTCTTGCTCTACTGCACAGCTGTAGGGCAACAATATGAGACACAGACTGGACACTATCATCTAGTAGAATTTTCTCTTTTGGGTGGATCAGCACCTTAGGCTGACCTTCAAATGTTTTGTTGATCCAACTAGTCAGATTAGAGGCCTCCTTCTCCTGCTCAAGAACAGCCCCCGCACTTAGGCGAGGCATTTTTCCTGTCAACATATGGAGGCAACATTTGGACACCTCTTCAATACCTAATGTTGAACGCAGTTCGTATTTTGGATCTATATTATCATCAACACAAATTGCTATGGCTATTGTGCCATCCTTTGTTGTAAGTAGCTGACAAATCTGCTTGTTGTTGATTTTTTTTACCGTGCCAGCTATAGACGTCATGAGTGATTCCATTAGAAGTTCAGTAATGTTCTCCTCTAACTTCCTGTGAAGATTTAAGGCATAGTTGTGTATCAATAGGCGCGAGGTCAGATGACTATCATCTGTCAGTAACTGAATTAGATCTGGTACATCGTTATCACTGAAAGCGAAAAAAGCAATGTGTTAATCAGGATTCTGAAACTGGTCACAGGAATGTACAAATTCGAATACATGTATATATAGAGTATGTGATCGCAGGCAAAACTCTACCTAGACAAATGTATGTTTTTATTGCAAATATTGAAACGTTCACCAGCTGCAGCCCTTAAATAAAATCTTCTAGTCCTGGTCCAACTCAGGCTAGTTGAGTTGTACATTTCTGCTGGTTTCCTGATGCATATATTTGATGACCACATGTGAACAACCTATCCTTATAAATATGAAATGCAAAATTTTACATGAGATATAATCAATAGATATACTGTATAAAGTAATATTGAACTGGGAAATTTTGCCATATTGTAACTTTCACGTTTTTCACCCTAAGTAATAATTCAAAAAGACATATAATTTTAGTACATAACATATTATTAGATCATACCGGGGTACTATATAGAGGATCTGACATGTCATAAGGCTCATTTCATAATGAAAGAGTTCAATATATTTAGGGGATAGTACGTTGTTTTGAGTGGCTATACTGGCGATTAGAACATGAAATTTGTGTATGAACTCGAGACCGATAGGTCGAGAGTTTACACCAAATTTCATGTTCTAATCGCCAGTATAGACACGAAAAACAACGTACTATTCCCATTCTAACACACCTTAACAAATATGCTACGCTATTATGTTTAGAAACATTGTATTTCCTTGTACAAATGTACTTTGTGACCTGAACTGGCGACGTGTCATTCTGCAGCGGACTGACCTATCGGAAAGAATCTTTCAAAAGTCGGTCATTTAGCCCCGCCCATACTGGCGGGAGCTCGATCTGTATGTTGACGAGGCGGAATATTTGGATTGTTCGTGAACGTCCTGTTACCAAAGTTTATACGACACATTCGGATTAATATTGACCAAGTTCTTACATTTTTATGTCAGTATGCATATCAATCAGTGCTTATCAACAAAATCGGTGATTATTTGTATAGATTTTTGAAGAGTTTTGTGTAAATTCATATGACACATGTGAAATGTTTTATTTGATTTCGGATCTCAATAGATGCCTTTACACGGATGGAACGAACGTTTCAGTAATAAATGGAGGTAAGAACAAGGAATGCGTTCTTTTTACTTTTTAATTCATTCAACAAATGCATTTCATGGGTCGTTTCTGTTCTGTTGCCTACTAGCCTTATCAGCGGGATTTCGCTATGAGGCGAGCTTGACGCCGTATTGTTTTGGTTAGAAACGGGGCGTGGCTTAAGTGCGACGGGAGGAGCTTAACACGATTGACCATGATTCTATCGCAGATTAGAACATGGTCCGTATCCAATCAAAACACGCGTTGCAAACGAATCGTGTTAGAATCAATATTAGAAACACGAATGTTAGATTCTATTTCATTTTATTATATATTTCAAGAAACACCACTACAAAATTGTTCTCAAAACGTCTCTTCTATATAGCGTCGACTGATGAAAGGATGCACTAGTTCTACATGCATTATGTTTGGAGCTTAATGCGCCACAAATATAGTTCCAGAAACTTTTCCATAAGAATCTTTTAAATGAACAAACAATCATGTAGGTTTCTTTTCATCAATCAATGTTTTAATAAATATCATATAAATATTAATGTTATTAATAATGACTTTTTTTTATAATAAAACCATTCAATAGGCCTAACATTTACGAAAAATAGTAGTGATGTCTCATCTTTTGACACAATGACACATGCACTGTCAAGACAAAGGTCATCACAATACACATTGAAGTTGGCACTTTTGAAAAGGTTTACTGGGACTAGGTGTCACTTTCGATAACACAGGTGTGTTTCTTGGAAAGAATTATATCAAATTTTGACTAGTCAATCAGGCTTGCAGTTCTTAGAATCACTACTCCAGCTGGATATTTCAT